TCCCAGATAAGTCATTTTCTAGGTAGTGAAGCCAAAATAAGAATGACAGCGCCAAAGCCCTTATTTCTACCCTCACAGTTTTACTTTGAAAGTGTAGTCCACCTTTAGCAAAAAATGTTACACATGCGCCCGCATTAATAAAAGAAAAATTTGCATTTTTTAAAATTTTTGCTTTGAAGCCTACAGAACATTGCAAGTGCGATCACTGAATCACGGGTGCAATGCTCAGCCTTCTGCATGGAGGAAACAGTGGACTACAAGTGGAGTGATGTCACCGCACTTGTGCTTAATTGAGATCTTTTGTTACTTCATAAATATAGGTGTAACATGAAACATGGTAACAAAGGTGGTCTAAGCCTTCAAGAACACATGCTACCACTTTTTTTTTACTTTTGAGGAATTAGACCTCTGCTCCTAAGAGATGTAAATACTCTTTGTCTGTAATTAATTTCAATGTGCTGCTAATTAGAGGACTGTCAAAGTGCTGTTACATCTCTCAGTAATAAAGAGAATAAGATCGACTTCACATGTATGCATTGTATTAACATGCACATTACCGCAATGCAAGGTAGTGCACTGTGAATGCATTAGTGCAATGCAGTGCCATAAAGGAATGCACCTGCAATACAGAGCACCACAATGCTCTACCATGCTTGGTGTTGTGCCTCTTTAAGAAAAATAGCTCAGGTGATTTTTTTGGTCCATTGTAGTGCACTGCAGCCAATTTAAATGCATTGGCAATGCACTTAATTGGAAAGGTTTTAATGGAGCCCTTTATTGCCTGGGCAGTCCTGAACTTACTAAACTCACCTGACTTTCTGTTGTAGACTTATTAAGGCACAAATGGAAATATAGCTGCTATTTGCATGTTTTTATATTGTATATATAAGCATATACACAGCATAATCTACATATAATAGTATCACATATAGTATCACAGAAATTAGGATTCACAAAAAAAGAAATGCCAAAATTTGCAATAGTGTAAAAGTCCTCATGATAGGTCAGACATGATGTTATTATACTTATTTATGTGTTTATTGCCAATGAGTTACAGTATATGCCAAAAAGATTTATGGTTATGATCTGAAAATATGCCCTGTTTTTTAATATATATATATGCTCCATCATTAAAGTTACAAAAAATACTGTTGTGACGTACTTTCCCTTACGCTCTAGTAAACAAACTTTCCCTTTATGAATTCCCTGAGAAATTATGCAAAACAACCTGTAAAAAAACTTACTGAACTGTGATATACTTCAGTAAGTATAGAGCATGCTTTCCAAGCTCCTCCTGCATGGCTTGTTATCTAACTAGAATATGGCTAATATAGCTTTAAAGCAAAAGTTGGAAAGGGATTTAATTCACGCCAAAGCTCAACTACATCTTCCTGGCAATTCTAAAACACAAAGCAGAGCAATAGAATCAACCTTTTTAAATACTATTCATTACTGTGCCGTTCCCTTTTGTTTGTGTAGAATTTTATTGCACTAGCTGTGCCCCTTTGAAATGTTTGCTTATTATTACTGATGTAATGTAGACTTGGGATATCATGGGAAGACACTGCTAACATGATATAGTCCGTCCAGGAGTCTTAGCTGAACTCCTGTTGCCAAAGGCCTAATTAAGCATACCAATGCTAGTTGCTTGGCTGATATGCTGACCCTCTGGCTTTGGTACATTGAGTCTCTGACCCAGAACAAGCATGCAGACAAATTCAAAAGTCCTTATTCTTGTTTCAAGTTAGTGAATCAAATGTTTCAAAACACTGGTGTGTATATATACCATAGCAATGACTAAAGTTATAAAGCATATCTGCCCAGATCCGCTAAGGTAAACAGACTCATGGTAGACAAAGACTAGCCTAGAGCTGTTGAAGATCTCATACATGGGTGTACCTTCCTTCTCTTTGATTATTTAATTGCCTTGCTTTACCACATCAAAATTGGCAGAAAGGATTAGAAGTGTGAAAGAGTCTGTGATCTCGAGTGATGAAAAAGTGTTATCCAGTTCACCACCTAGAAACCATAGTAACTAAAGCAGTTCATCTTCTGACTGGCTTGGTCAGAAGCAAGGAAAATCAAATTTAATTTCACCTGAAATATTGGCAGACAGAAGTACTTATTATGAAGCACAAGTTGCATCTTTGGCATGGAAGAAAATGTGTTATTTTTCTTACGCTCATCAGATTTAAGGTAAGCTTGCTACTGACTAAACTAATATAAGGAGCCAGTTACTTTATAGACACATGCTTTGCTAGTATAACATCAGACTGTGTTTCAGTTAAAAGTAAACCTGTGCTTTGTCCAATGAGTAAAACAACTGGTGCACCTTTTTACACTTCTCCTCAGCACCATTTACTCACCTTACTGTGCTACCTACTATGTTCGGCACCCGGAGCTAGAGAAGTGGTTCCGTGTAACCTACAAGTAACTCAATTCTTACCTTACACAGAACCAGAGGCTCTTCCCATGTGACAGCAGTAGTGCTTGGTGATTGGCCCAGTGCTGGCACATGGAGTGAGTTTTCTTTGCAGTTGAATGGAGTGACACAGAAACAAAGTAAAATTGACAATTTGCTATTGGGAAGAGTGGCTAAAAGCAGCTGTCCTATAGATGACTATTCTACATCGCTCTAACTTCTTGGAAAGGGTAGGATTGAACCATAAAAAATATATATTTAATAAGAAACATTTTAATTTACAGTATATCAGGACATGGCAAACGTTGTGTGTTGCCAGATAAAGTGCAAGAAACAAGTGGAATGGATGATGTATTTGAGAAGGGATTCATACTGTTTAAACACTAATCCACAGCTAAAAACATACATTTCTATTCAGTGCCCAAAGTTTTGTTCAATTCAACAACCTCCAAACACTCTTGTTGTTAAACAAAGACATACAAGTTTGACACAATGTATAAAACCTAAGCACATTGGTGATTCTCAATGCTACCTTCTTCTTTCTGCTACTCTTATAAGGCAGCTTATTATATTTTTTATCAGAAATCTCATGCATGTTTAGGCATAGGGACTGAGTTACTAAGTGAAAAGTCAATATTCCCTAAAGACAGTGAAGTGAATGAATGAAGTGAAGCTGTGTTCATTTTGCATATCCAATCACAATTGGTTGATTGAAGTGAACACAGCTTTATTCACTAAGTTAAGTGAACATTGATTTAATGACAATGGAAACAAAAACAGAATGCTTAGCCTTAGAAGGGTAAGCCTGCCTTACTGACTTCACATATAGCTAAATATTAATACAGGATATGCGGTAAGGTAATGAAAACTATGCCATATAAACTTTATACATCATGGGAAGGGGAAAGGATACAATAATTAAATTAAAAACAGACCAGAGAATATTAGTAATATACAAAACTGCATATAATACTTCATATATTGCATTATCCAATATGGTTCTACAAAATAAATTGAAACAGACAATCCCAGGAACGTCTGGATGCCTGAGTGCTTTGGAGAGCTAAAGTATGTTAACAACAAACCATGTTTTCTGTTCTTTCCAAAATTTCTCCAGTAACATACACTATTCATTCTTTATTGCTATACTGATACTTATTATGGTTATCCAACTTCTACAGCGCTGTTTACTCCAAAAGAGTGTACTGATGGTAAGATAATGTGATTTGCAATTATTGCAATATGATTTAATGAATGCCAAAGATGCCTGTATATTGCAATATAGAGATCTACTATTAGAATACAGATTATTTCTGTATTTTAGTTGAAACTACTATATCATCCAGTCTTATAAAGAGAGTGTGTGGTCAGACATATTCTTTAAGGCAGTGAAAAGGGCGATGATGACAGCACAAGTGATGTAACTCATAACGGTCTATAAAATAAAGTATTTCAGCTCATCTCATTACAGTAACAGAAATTATTTGATTGTTATAGGTTACTCCATCTTTCATATCATAATTATAATTTTGCTACACTTTATTTATTAAACTCCCAGGGTTAAAAAGACTATTCAACTTTATTGCTTTTATCACAATCTAAAAACTCCAATAGATGCAGTTTATGTCTGTGATCACAGAATATCGTTTGTGCAGTTTTTGGGTCTATTTCATCCTATGTGTTTACCTGTAACCAGAACCTTAAGGGTATAGACCATTTACCATTTTGGTTTCGATTTTGGTTTAGGTTTTAATATATAAATCTAGTATCACACAGGTTAGAAGTACTGGCAGATGGTCAAACGCAGAGCCATGTATAATTGTGGAAGTACAAACAATGAGATGAATTTGTGCTCCATGGAGTATTGCTGCTTCATGGAGAATGTACAAAGTAATTGCTGAAGCCATTTGTTTTATAATCTCTTGTTTTGTTCTATAAATCTCTATTATAGATTTTGGCTAACTTCCTTACAGAAGTAAAGTAAGCAAAACCCTTATGTGTAACATTTGGAGCAAACAATAATTGGCAAATCTAAAAACACTAAAACTGTATTTTAATAGGTTTGAGAGGTTTCATTTCAGGCATGCACTGAAAAAATATTTTTTTATGTTGGCATCTAACCCTGTTATGTTCCAGAGTGTTTTTAAGGCAGTGTTGAACTGACCATGCAGTGCAACCCAAGCCTTTAACATTACCACCCATCAGTTTTTAAGTTTAAGTTGGGCATTTTGGCCAAGCAGAGGCCAAAATGCCCAAAACATGGAAAAACAATGTAAAATGTATTCCAAGACAGTTTAGTTGGAATACAGGTCACTGCATAATCAATACAAATTAATTCACACTGTCCAATGCAGAGAAACCAAATCTAATTATCTATTGACTAGACTGAGCAACCAGCATATATCCTACATGCACGGTAGGTTGGTTCAAAGCTTATATATGCCAGCTTGGGTTTTGGGTTACCAGCACTGCATATGTTGTAGAATACACATACATCTCTAGGAATGCTATAACATCCCTATGTCACAGAAATACAGCAGTATGTGACAAAATGATTTTGGCTCAGATAACTTTCCTAGCCATTCCTATCATGCTATAAAACATGAAATAAGAATCTTTGGTAAAAATTCTTATGAAGTCATTAAATTCACATGTTCCTATCCAATGGTAAATGCACACATTACTGTCACTGATTTACCCTGGAAATCTACCATAGTAGTTTGTATTTGGTGTACTGATAGAGAATATCCTGCTCACTTCTTTAGCCTTGATACTCAAGTGAACTATAACAAAATGCTGTAGTAAAGCGTAAATATATCAAATTCCAATTAGACACATATAAATCTTCATGTTAGTAACAGCGTTCATTCTTAAATATTGTGCTTTTATAAATTAACATATGTCCATTTCGGTGCTGATATCTCTGTGAAATAAGCTTTTTTTTAAAAAAAAGAAATACAGAACAAATGTTTGTACTTTTCTTTCAGTCACACCAAATAGAGCAATACCTGGTATCCATTTCTTGACACTAAGGCAGTCATAGATCTGTAAAGTGTCTTTTACATTTGGCTGTATTAGAAGAGAAGCTGTTAGCTGATCCAGCAATAACTGGATTGCCCCATTCGCTACACTGGAGGAGATGAATAATGAATGACTGAGTTATAATCTGGTGGTGGGCTGTGACACTCTAGGTTCATATCCATTGGCATAAGGACAAGCTCTTCAAGTGTGAGGTCTGGAGGGTATTCTTCAATCTGGCTAGATAGCTGGTACTTCACAAGGTTTCTTTCATTCTCCCCAAGCACAGACTCCTTGCTTTTGCTTACTGCTTTCATTCTGTAGAGAGAAAAACGATGAAAATGAAAAACGATGAAAATGAAAAGTTAAACTAACAATGTGTTTATTTTATGTGTGGAGACCAGCCAAGACCTATTTGGAGAGTGGTTTGTGAAGCCTAGCTGCTGCATTGTTACTAAAAGGGGTGACACAAGGTTTTAGATGCAATGACAGCTAAATTAATAATTTTTTCAGTGCATATAGCAACAACATATTCTGTAACAGAGTACAAAGAACATTAAATTCTGTTCACAAAAGCCTTACTTCCAAAGCAGCTTATTGGCTATTGTCCCAACAAGAGTCACAAATACACTTGTGCACCATGACCAATTTTGGTGGAAGCCAATTAACCCGTAGGAAACCTTATCATGCAAAACAAACCCAAACAAGCATATGGAGAACATACATACTCCATGCACTTAATGCCCTTCATGGCTAATGAAATCTGTACCACTAAGCCACTGCACTGTTAAAGTAGAATTTCCTTTACTGACTATTCTTTAGATAATCTCCTTATAATGTTCTATGCAACTAAAGTACCTCACAATGCAAGCACAACAGTATTTGCCAGTCTCTCCCAAACTGACTGTTGAGAAGACAGAAGATGCAATTGTGAGAATGGTAAAAAATATAGTTATACATGAAGGCCTTAGATCATTACATAAGGACACTTTCCATCTGATATGAACATTTACTGAATAGTCTGTGTCTGACTATAGATAATTAAATATGGTACTGGCTGATTTCTGCTTAATCAACAGAGAGTAATCATTATGCCCCTTCAGTTTCCAAACCTATTGGATCAACATCCTCAGTTGGAACTTGTCAGGTGCAGGACAGTTGAGCAGGTAAATTGCCATACAACTGCATCAGAATTGATAACATTATGCAACAAAGTATCTGTGTGCTAGAACCTAAAGAAGGAGGACCTGTTAAAGCCTAACTGAACTGTCAGTTTAGTCACCAGCTAAATGCATTCCAAATGCATCAAAACAAAAGATGTTCAATGTCTAATAGTTTGTTTTATTGGAAAGCAGCCACAGCCTGAATAGAAAAGCATATCCCCTGCCAGCATGCTTCTGAGAAAGACCCTTACTTCCTGTGTGGAAACAGTGGTCACTCTACAGAGGTCTGACATGCCCCCTGCTGAGTCACAGCTACTGCTCTCTAATCAGCAAAACTCATGTTCCCTGCTGACTGGAGAGCTCTAGTTCTGACTCAGTTAGGGATAGTGTCAGACCTGTGCAGAGAGTCCACTACTTCCACAGAGAGAGTAAAGGTCCTTCTCTGCAGTATGCTAGCAAGGGGTATGTTTTTCTACTTGAAAAACGAGAAAAACAATTGTAAGACTCTGAACAGCTTTTTTTTATTCATCTGGAATATATTTAGCGTATTTAAACTGAAAGTTCAGTTGGGCTTTCACTCAAGTTTTCTAGGTAATCTATCAACTGAATTAGCACATACAAATACTGAAGCTTTTCTAGGTTACCAGTGTTCCCATTATCCTGTTTAGGCCCCCTGATAAGCAATCAACAGGTGTGACATTACAACAATTTCAACGCTCTGCTACAGATGCATATGCCCACACATGCTGGTCCCATGTGGCGGCTCCCAAATAGCCCATCCTCCACATCACAATGAATGACAGGAGGAGTTCAGGTAGTCTGCTTTACATCAGATGGATTAAGAAACAGAGATTGTGACTTAGTTCCAGAGCACAATTACTTTCTTTCTTTTCTGTCATTTAGTGTGTAGGATACATGAAGGATGCTAGTTTTGATATGAATACACCTTGTAGACTATTTAGCAAGAACGTGTAAGATATATTGTTTTATAGAAGTATTTGCCAAGCGTTTTTGGGCACGCATTTGCACCGATGAGATTTACGACCCATTTTGTTTTGTGGCCTGAAAAGGATCCTACCTTAGAAAAGTGACATCAAACTCTCATCACTCTGCTCTATGCTAAAACATTTTTTTAACACTAAGCCACTTATTTCTGCAATTATGGCACAGAAAGTGCTATGACGTCATTTGGGAGCATGGTGGCCTTTTACTCAATAGCCACGTCTGGACAGATTCTAATAATTTGTTTAAAATTCTTACACATTTATCTGTTGCTGAAGAAGGTAAAGCTTGTACATCACTGTTCTGTGTATGAGGAGTTAGAACTGTTCAGACAGCGGCAGGCAGACAGCCAAGTGAGTGAGTGCTGGATATTGGCCAGGGTACCTGACATTATGACATAACAGAAATGCAATTAAAGATTACCCTGACCGCATGTAACTGTTATGGGAAAGTTTAGCACGTCTTGTGAACAGTATTTTACGAATTGGAATAGATCAAGGCTGCATACCAGCTCTTTAAATAGCTAAAACTGCTGTTTATAAAATACTCACTATTTAAGTTTACAGATTATGGGGTTTGATTAGTTAGATTCTCCCTTATCTTGTTCCCTTAAAAACAGTATAATTTTTATTTCAGATAGATCTTATGCTGTTATGCTGTGGCTTTCTCTTACAGAAGAAGTATTTTCAATTTATGTTGTGAAAATGCATGCAGTTTTATGTATTTTTGAAAACATTAACATTACATAGCATGAGAAAAGAGCAAAGTAAAAAGGTAAGCAGCAAATTTAAATATGTGCTATGATATGTGAATGGGAACACCTTACAAATATAAAGTAGGTGTTATGCTGCTAAAATAGAAATACACTTTAAAACATAACATATAAAAACTATGTCTGTCTGATGGTAAAATGGTATACTGTGTAGAAACGCACTAAAAATGAGGTACAAAATACCAAATATCAGTTCAGCTGTGGCACCAATCATTTCTATAGGCCCTAACATACACACTAATGCAATAAAATGTTTCATAATGCACTGCAATGCACAAATGTAAATTGTCCTCACTGATTCTGTATACTAATTATGTTTGATGCAGATAACCAGTAAACCATTGCCTGGATTTCCCCTCTCTTCCCAGGGACAAGTGCCATGAAAACAGGAATTAATAGGATGTTACCCCAATGGGGACACATACAGCAACAAAAGTCAGACACAGATTCTAACCTTTCCCAGCTCTATCCAGAACTAAACATAAGTTTTGGCTGGAGTTGCACTTTAGTTGTACAAACATTCAGGAAGGACTGCGTTAAATCTATGAGTAAAATATCCTTCAATGTATATCTGTGCCTGCTTTTTTCTTTTTACAAGATGTGTTTAGAAGATGTATTTTATAGGTTGGGAAACTGGAGATCTAGACAAACAGTTTAAACTAAAAACATTAATATGACAAGAACACTTTCTTTTTGAATGTATTCTGATGGGAATTGTGCCATGCCAGAACTAGACTGACTAAATTAAAATACCACTGGTTATTTCATCTATGCAGCTACCCAAAGAATTGCTGACACCCAGTTTATATTAGTATGGTTTGGCACCAGTACTAAGGATCCTGCATGGTGCAAATAAAGCTGAGAATGCTGGTTGAATGCATTACTTTTACTGTTATCATTAAAGCTGAACATGCAATTAAGAAAGCTGCTAACTGTTTGACTTAAAACATTAACATTTTAAAGAAAAATACAGTCGTAACCATTGTGACGCCCAAGCTCCCATTAAAAAAACACATACTGCCAGGCACCAGGAGGAGGTATCAATAGAGCAGATTTGTCACAAATGCTTATTGTGCAGTGTCGCTACAATGCCCATCATGCAATGATGTTCTGTTTGCCTGAACTCATCAAACATTGTTTCCAGAGTACACCGGGATCTCCACAACCTCATAATGGTTTGTTGTGCAAATTAAAACCAGAGTTGCATAGTCATGCTTTTGTCTTTTTTCACACACTGAGGTCACTTCCTATTGGCCATAAAATGCAATGGTTGGCACTAGCCAATAGGGAGATCATAGGAGTGAAAATAAAATTTGTGTACTTACAGTAAAAAATTTTTCTAGGAGTTTATCAGTGGACACAGGGATATAGTAATTCTGAGACATTTTGGTTATATTACCACCTTCAGGAGTAACTGAACACTGACAAATAAAAAAGCCACTGGTCAGCCAGGTATAACCCCTCCTATTCCCATTATACTTTAGTTGTTTTATACAACCAGTACTAGGAGTAGGCCAGAAGCACAGAGGAGTGGGATCTGTGTCCCTCAATAGACTCCAAAAAAACAGATTTTACGGTAAGTGTGAAAATCTTCTTTTCTTTCTTTTTCATTATGAGACACAGGAATGCAGTCATTCTTGGACATTTGGGTCCTTAAAAAGAAATGCAACAGGAGTGGGAACAGCCAGTGAGAGATCCAACGGATGGGGAATATTATTATAAGCGCAGCCAAAGGAAACAAAGCCCAAATAAGGCTAGATGAAAAGACAGGTAAGTAAATATGTAATTGCTATTGCCAAGGAAAGGCACTGAAAAACAATCAGGTGTTCCAGAGCAGGGCAGGTAGCACTACTAGGGGAACACGGCTATCTGAAAGATAATGTGGAGGACAACCAATCATCAACCATAAAGAAAACAGATGGAACAACAACTACCTGAACAGGGGAAGAATGTATGACCACTAGCTATGGTGGTCAAAAAACAAGAATGTGTATTAAGGTAAAGGCCAAAGTCTGGGATACATAACCCTTGACCTATGGCAAAGGCAGAGTGGACAAAGTATGTTCCAAACAAGATTCCAAACAGTGAGCACCTGGAGCTTGAAGTTGAACACCCATAATCCTGGACTTTAGGCAAAGGGAAATCTAAAATATGACAGTCCTCTCAGCAGCGATCCAAAGGGAGAGAACAAAGGAAACCTTCAATGTGAAACAAAGAAGGGTAGAATATTAAGTCCCTTTTAAGGAAGGAGTGGAGAGACCCACACATACATAAAAGGGAAGTTTGGGCAAGGATATATTGTAATGCAACTGACAAAGTGACATCAGGATCAAAAGAATAAGACGGAGACCTTAACCACAATACAAACTGCCCAATTATATATGTGAATAATCAGTTAATATATAATACAATAATCATGTGAATATATAAGTTAATAGATGAAATAATGTTACAAAACCGTAATGTGTATATAATAAATATCATTGTTATTCAATGATCTAATATTGTTTATTAAAAATGAAATATTAATTGTGAGGTTCAGGTGAATGTAGAAACCAAGTACTTAAATAGAAATGACAGGTTCTTTAATTATTTGCCCAACATAATTCTAAAGCATTGGGGGGGGGGAAATTATGCTACTACCGGGAGTTAAAATGGATGACCAAAATTAAATTATTATACTTGAGATGAAAAATGGGAAACTCTGTAGAAGAACTGGGCCACATACCCTGGGTGCCAGGGTCTAGCAATGCCCCTCTTTAGAAAAACACATTGTGCTTCACTGCACATATTGCTGTTCTTCTTTCTTTGTATTCTCACTCATTGCTCAAACAGTTGCATATTGACTGAGATGCTGTGTGGACTTGAGGTGTTTTCTAAACAGCAGTGCATGAATATACATTACATGGCAGTGTGTTTGCTCAGCATACACCAGTGTAATAGATGAAGATGATAAATTCATGTAGCGCATCCAAGAACATATCATAATATTGTCTATCCTCACAGAAATCATATAAAACAGTGGAGAATTTGTTGAACATTTCTATAGGGATATCAGATTTTTGTCTGGTTTTATTTGACTGTTGCATCCTGTGACTTGATGCTTTAGTTAGTTTGCCAGAAACAAAAAGCAATCTCCCCACGAGTCATAAGAACAGTGGGATCTGGCCGAGGAATGACAAAAATAATAATCCCTGTAATGATTCTCAAGTAGCTTTACGGTCAGCTATAGAAAATGTCTGAAATATATCCAGGGTAAATGTCTCTGAGGTATTCTTCTAATGTGTAATTCCTGACTGATATTGTCCCAGCTCTTTAACTTTCTGTAGATTTTGGACTCAATGTGAATACAATTATTTTAGCTAACTGGTTTTAGAGAAAACTCAGGCGCTGCACACAGTATACATAGTGCAAAGAAAAGTCACATAAACCTGCTGAAAAATATCGTAGCATATCACAGTAAGTATTACTAAAGGAGCAGTGTTTCCAGCAGCTCCAGAAGTTCTTAATGGGCCTGAAAGCCATTAGTGTCACTTGAAATTCAGACTCTGATTGGTGTAACCTTCTTGGTCAGTGAAGGAGAAATGGACTGATGAGCTTATTTATCTGTCACTCTGCTCTCTCTACCTATCAGTAAGATTCTTGTCACCATATTTGCATGTAGCACACCTGATTGGCTCCCAGTGCTGTGCCTCCCCCCACCAATTTAAGCTCTGCTGCAAAGGGGATTGGAAGAGGCTGATATTCAGATATCTACACTAGTTGCTCTTACAAATATGCTTAGTGATTTTTAGTGAACCCATAACTGCAACACTTGTTGTTTTTGTATCTGCCTGGAGTTCAACTTTAATTATATGTCCAAAGTACAGCTAATGTTTCAGTAGGTTAGCTGATAGCATAAAGTTGTTTAAATTGATGAAACAGCCTAATTAATGGGCTATGACTGAAACACTGTTGTTTGAACATACATACATTCGGTTTTGGTGCTTCCAAAAAACACATGCACAAAAGACAGGTATTACAAGTATAGTAAAAAAAATAGTGAGTAAGTAAGGCATCAAAGAAAATTATTTTTTCTACTATGCATTTTTATAACGCTAAACGCAGCTAAGAAAAACTGCCAGTGTTTATGAACCCTCTGGGGAACTCCCTTGACTTGGGGGCAGAACCTGCCCTTTTTGTGGTGAAAAAGGTCAGCATCAACAAACCAGCAGTACTGTTCGGCATATAATATCACAAGTATTTGCTTAAATAAAAGGAACTGATTGTGTGCCGAGCCTGATAGTATTCCAGCATACTACCAGATACTACATGATACTGACTCTCAGTGCATTTTTTGTACTCCTGTGTTTAAAACTAAATTAAAACTAGAACCTAATTGGATGCTCTGAACAATAATCTTTTTAATATTGACTGCTAAGTAGGAGCTCCTTATATTTATTGGAAACAAATCAATTTTGTTGCTTGTGAACTGTCCCACACACTGGATCTGCTTTTTTTATTCATTGGATATAAGTTCCTTTAAGAGAGGGCGCTAGTGTATATCTTTGTACTTTATAAACCACTGCAGAATATGTTGATGTTATATGAATGAATGAACAATTACATTTGTAACAAAACCCTATCTTAGGTTCTATTTTATGACCTCACTTACGCATGAGCAATTATTCCAAATGGCCATGATCGTGTCTCTTGTCGTTTCAGATTTTTCATTTCCACGGAGGACAGTACCATCCCACTGTCAGATTCCCCTTCCTGTGATGGAAATACAGGCATGATAAATAATGATTCATGGACATTGCTTTTTTCCAGTTAATGTAGAACATCAAGTTCAAAGAGTTGGCAAACATTTTTTTTTATAAAAACCCCAAATTGCTTTCCCTTCTCATCTGACAGAACACAAGCAGAGTCACACAGCACAAACACTAAACCATCAAAATACACAAAATTGCAGTAGGGAAAAGGGTGGCAGTCTTGTTAGTTTGGTTGTCCAAATACAATTTCTCACAAGTAGAGGAAGGTGTGTTGACCTCAGATGGACATACAGGCATGACAGTTGTCAGATACCTTCCAGCAGCTCAAAAAATACAAATAATTTTTGTATATTCTTATGCAGGAGGGACATGGTGTGGCCAGATGACAATGGTATATCCTTGAAGGACACAATAGTGTTCAGGGCAGATTTTCTTATGTGCTAGGAATATATCACATCGCTCAAAAGCAGTCTGCTGACAGGTGTCATCCTGAACCCATAAGGATGAAGTCATCACCCTATCTTAAAATGGTAAGATCCAGTGACCCCCAACTCTATGGCCAGCTTAAATGCAAGAGTCTGTGACTACCTAATACCAATGGCCTATTCACAAAAACAATATAAGGGACTATAATAATTTGCAAAGTGCATTAACTAAGAACATCAAAGAGAATTCAGTGTATTGGTCAAATAAGAATTTTGACTGCACTCTGCACATTGCTCTTTGCCCTGCTGAAAAAGCTTGTGAGACTATATTTATTGTGTGATGTAATTTTCAGCACTGGCTAGACTTGAGAATCTTAGGTAAGAAAATCGCTTTTATATTTACTAAGGCTAGCCAATAATCGGAAACAATGGTTGGAAGATTCAGCCATTGAATGGCTGTCCTGTGCAGTGATTGTGGCATAAACATAACTGGTCGCACTGACTGATTGGGCACTGCATTATGCATACATCTCTGATGCCAGACATAACTTGTGGAATATTAGGTCAGGAAAATCCATTGCAGACAGCCAATATTTTCCAGATATAAGATAGATAGATAGATAGATAGATAGATAGATAGATAGATAGATAGATAGATAGATAGAAGCTCAGGTGTCTGCACAACTTAATGGTAGCCACAGAAGCTATTGACCAGATCTCGTAGCAATCAACTCATGTCTATTGCTAACCTGACTCCCTAAACTTCACTTCAGCTATAAAGTAACATGTTGCTCAAAGGTCTCTGACACATGAATGTTTTGGTTACTCCTACTTCCAGATGTTTCTGGGGCCTTCTGGGAGCAGGTTTCTGGGTTCTTAATAGATTCTTGTGAAGTGTGCTTATACTTGCAAGAATTTTCTGGATAAAGACAGCGTGCTCACCCCAGTTGCCTTGTTTCTGTAAATGTGTTTACCTCGTTGAGTCCTTTGTCCTTTCCCACTGGCACCTCGTCAAATGTCTTCACACTCAGTGGTCGATTCTTGTTATTGTTTCTGAAAACAAGAAGGGACACAGGATGAGCCCAACACCCACGTTTCTTTGATAATCTTCCTAATTCATCTTCAACATAGTGAAAAGCTCAAAAATTTCATGTTTATTCTTTATCTTTGTGTTTTGCAATTTTGTTTACTAGTAGCTAGCAAAGATCTGAAATGATTATAAAGCTTTGCAACGCAATTAAATGTTGATTTGTGTACAGTATGTGCTAGCCATGGAAACATATGATAGCAATTTAAATAAAGCAACATTTACAAATGATGAATCAAATTATTAAAAACAACTTAAAATGCCTTTTTCAAAGTACGTGAACTCATCTGAGAAGGACTCTCTAGTGAACTCCACACAAAGAAAACAGAGTACTGATTATAAATAAATTAGCTTTCTTGTGCTAACTACTATGACCCAGTTCATAAAAAAGCAGAGTTTTCAGGTTTTGTACATGACTCAAATCGCACAACTGAACTACACTGCATGCTGTTTTGGAATCAACACAACACAACTGACATACCATACAGACACCACAAGAAACAGCAAACTGGCCACACTGCTGTACATGTTAGACAATGAAAGCATGTAATAATAATAACTGTTTAGCCCAAGGGCATCTTGACAACTAATCTGTCTAATTTGTGGGGAAAGGAGGTTTGCCCAGTGTCTTGATTTGCTGGGCGAACTGATTTGCTTCAAGACACCTTCACCAGTTCACTTAGGTGTATGATGCATGCATGTTTTTAGTCCCCAAGTGCATAACTTTACATTTATCAATATTAAACCTAATTTGCCCAAAAAAACAGTGCATTCAGGTCTGCTTGTAAGTTGGAGACATCCTGTATGCACTGTATTCCACTACATAATGTTGTGTCATCTGCAAACACAGAAATAGTACTAAATCATTTATAAATAGATTAAACAGTAAGGGACCCAACATTGAACCTTGGGGGACAACACTATCAACCTCAGACCATTTAGAGTATGAGTCATTGATCACCACTCTCTGAATACGATCCTTAAGCCAGTTTTCTATCCAATTACAGATTGAATACTCTATACCTACAGACCTCAACTTATACATTAGCCTCTTGTGGGGAATGGTGTCAAATGCTGTTGCAAAGTCCAAGTATACTATATCCACAACCATTTCTTTGTCTAATTTATTGCTAACCTCCTCATAAAAAGAAAGTAGATTTGTTTGATAACTTCTGTCTTTTGTGAATCCATGCTGACTATGGTTATAATATTATTTTCAAGCAAAAACAAGTGCATGTGATCCTTTATTAAACTTTCAAGTATCTTCCCAACTGTTGACGTTAAGCTTACAGCTCTGTAATTACTTACAGTCCATAATGCAACCTGTGAAGCAGATTACAAGTATGCATTCACCAGTGCAGATATCTAGTTTTAGATGAAGTAGGGAATGGTAAAATTGCTGTTAGTTTTTTTTTGCTTTATTTGTGCCTTTTGGTTGATTTCCTTAAACAGATGTCTCTCACATGAAATGCCATGTCTGTCCAGAATTTTATAAAGTGACAATACTCAAATTGTTCCCCAGATATGCAGTTACTATTTGACCATTTAAAAAAAAGTTTTTTTTAGGTCTCTATCACTATAATGTGATAGTTCTCACCCAGATTCCAGCATGCTCCAACGTGTCACAGAGTTTCTTATGCTTTGTTCTCCACTGCCAGGTTTTATGTTTGTCTCTCCATCAACTCGTAGAGCAGTGTTTAATGGAATGTAGTCTTTTCCCTCCTATGGCAGATATATAAAGAAAGTTAGGCTAACCATAAAAACTCATCAGTTTCTAAAATTGCAAAACAGATATCAGACAGAGTCTGGAGAAAACTACTCTGGGGGTGCAAAACTAGTGCAAAATATTTCAGCCTATGCACTCGGCTTTAGATTTTCATGGCATATGTGGTCTCTTAGAAAAGGTGCAAGTATTGTATTGAAAGTCATTTTTATTACTACAATTAACATAATTTGTTTCCTCTTTAGAGTTTGTGTTGGAATTTGCCAGCTGCCCATAAACCAATAAGCTGTATACTTGCTAACAGTCATGAACTGCTGTAGTTGAGAAGTGTTCATTTGGTTAGTACAGTGTACTATTGCTATCTGAAGAGTTAGCCTATAATGTATTCAAGACATAACTTAGATGCAAATAAAAGCTGACCAAACACCCTTACTACTGATTACAGCACAGCCCAAGTACTTAAAAAGATCACACAATTTTTGCAAAAAAAGTTCTGTGTTAGTGGCACTAATTATCTCTGTTTCTATGGAGAAAAAAGAAAAAAAGAGTACCATTATGTATTTCTGGAAGATGGTTGTGACAATGCCTCGTCCCAATGTGTTCTTCAAGAGACAATTTGTGTTTTCCGTAATCTTCAGTAAAGTAATTTTGTGTCTCCCAATCTGTTCCTTTTTGACTGGAATGGGTGGTGATCTAACATCTATGGGGCACAAGCAGACACTGCTGGCCGAGGCTTGTGGTGAATAACGTTCAAGTGGGTTGGAAAACCTGGTCCCATTGCTAATGTATTACTCCTGATAAAGCAGTACCAGAGATGTCTCAGCAAATCTCCCCTTGATTTCCCCATAGACCTAACCACAAATGGTTGTCCAATACGTGACCAACCACCCTCTAATGTTTCTGACAGCCTTATGAATGGTGTGACGGAAGCAAGCCTTCCAAAGTTTACATAAATGCTGTAACCTTCTGATGTTCCTTCTGGTTGTGTACATTGACATTGCAAACTGTTACAACTTCAAAAACAGGCAAGAGTCTGCAAAGTCCAAGTACACAAACAGGAGGAATATCCACTTGAAAAATGACCACATTTATAGGGATCAGATGTCTCTCAGTTTACCCTTTGTTTCAACAAACGTAATCATAAGAGTTAACCAATTTCTTCAATGCAGCAATAGAAACAGACAAAACAAAAGAACAGCAAACCTGTTGAACATTGGCCTGAAGGAGATCTCCCAAGCGCTGCACTAGTTCTGTAAACGTGGGTCTGTCTGTTGGGACTCCTTGCCAGCAATCTAGCATCGTCTGGTACCTAAGGAAGAAAGAGTGAATGAATGGGACTTCTTATAAAAGTAATTAATTTAATAGTCTTTCTGTTTTACTAAGTTACAGGGGCCTCATTTGAATTTTTTGTTTTTTTGTAAGTCTACCAAAAGTACATTTACATTTGGTAAATCTACTTCTTGTTACATAAAAGTAAAATAAAGTATTATGTATTACTTTTTGTACAGTTTTGTCTCTAGTTATTTTAAATGGAACATTGAAAACACAATAACACTATATACAAATTTACACTAACAAGTAATTATGGTAAAATATAGAAGTGCATAGTCTTCACAATTCAGCACTTTTGTCCTCCTGTAGGATAGTTTTGATGATTTCTATAAAGAAATATTTGCTTAAATGGACCAGTAGAATTAATCAAACAGCTATATAGGTGATATAGAACTATTCTTATTGTCCAAGTATAATGAACACAAAAAAAGCCTGCTCTTCATTGCAGCCTAGGATTAATTTGTTCCTTCCCTCCTCTCCTCTGTAGCCGACAATTGCCAAAAATGTGGGCCTTGACCACTACAGACCTTTAATTCTCTTCTCTCCCCTTTTTTGTTCATTGGTATAATTTAACTTTTGCCTACTGTTGTATTTTGAAGCTGGTAATAAATTCTCTATATCTGCAGCCAGAGCATACTCAAGCATATAGTGTATTTTATATTATGTAATGTCACTAAACATAATCATACATTTCAGGAGTGCAGTACTCTGGCGGTCTCATCCGGGTCCCTTCCTTTAGTCGGCAGCAGAAGTCCTCATCAATCTGTACACCAGGGTAAGGAGAAGCACCTACACCAGAAAAAAAACGAATTTAATAACACCATCAAAAAGTGTGAGAAGAGTTTCAGAAATTATGCATATTAGTTTCAATGAGATAGGAACCAGGGCAGAGATAGAGGCTGAATCTCCCCAGAGGAGTCATAGACAGCAATAAAACCATGACAGAGGTTCTGACCTATTCACAGAATATTCAAAACTAGAAAGTTTTGTCTAGAAATACACTGCATAAACAACATTAGAATGATTGGAACTCCTAATGTACATATGTGTTCTATTTCAATAACTTAGAAAGTACTAAAGCCATCTGGCCACCATGATAGCAGGAACCTAGCATTTTCAGAAGAAGATCAGCTATACCTAAATTCAGGTCTTCCTCTTTGACATTAAAAGGTATACAAAGATATTGTTAGAAGTTATATTTCTGGCCACTAGAACAGAAATATGCAACAAAACAGGTTCTGCCATAACAAACTAAGTGAACTAATTCCAGCAACGAAGGAAAAAGGGTACAATAATATATTGGAGGCTATCTGATCTGCTTATCTAACATCTTTTATGCATTCTGCAGATTTTATGAGTAAAATCATGTATTTATCAAATATTTATAGTTTGAACTTTTCAGGCAGGGCCTTATGAAACAGCCATTAAGGGTTAACTAACCTGTTTATATTTTCAAAAAGAACTCAGATACCAGAATCACACACCAAAGCAAACAGTGTCATTCAGTGACTTTGCCAGCTCTTGTTTTGGCAGTGCATGTAAAGGGACAAGCCAAACACTCAGCAATACACCAAAACCGCAGCAATGCCTGTGTTGTTCAAGACAAGGACTTCAGTAATAAAATACTGCCAACACTTTCCACTGCTAGGTAGCTGTCTTGTTCCCAGGCAGGATGTTTTAGACCATGCTGGAGACACAGCTGCAGATGTATAGGGAAATAGAGCCATTCACTGCATATTTGTAATAGATATCAATTTGGCATTTTTCACAATATTTTTTTTAACATTACATGAATACTGCTTATTCATTGACACGAGGAAATTTTAAAGCTGAACTCCAGCTATAGAAATATTTACCTTCATTGGTCTAGTTAGGCACAGAGTAGGTATACATACATGATCCCTGGCAGGGCCACGTAGATCCTGTAATACACTGTAGTAGCCACAGCTATTACAGTGTATTAGAGCAATCTTCTGGGTCCTGGAATAGCCGCTGTGTTGAGCGACTTCCCCATCGCTGTTAAAACACAGTCAGTTGCTCGCTCAACACAGCAGCCATTCAGCAAATGCATAGTAATTTTCACTCCAATCAGAGAGCGCCTAGTTATTTATAAAAATACTAGGCGTTCATTGAATGGCCGCTGTGCCAACTGAGGGACCCACTGTGTTTTAGCAGTAGAGGGGAAGTTGCTCAGCACAGTGGTTGTTCCATGACCCAGAAGATCACTGTAAAGCACTGTAGTAGTTGTGGCTGATATAGTGTTTTACAGTTTCCCATGGCCCAGCCAGGTATCATATATGGTTTATATGGACTGGATAGCAGTGAAAACCTGACGGGTTCTAAATGTGTCCATACATCGGTAGTTTTTTCTGAACAATAAAAAATGCTTAATTCCCCCATCTGCACTAAATATCATGAATTTGGGAATCTCCCCCATAAAAAAGTGACTGAATCTGATTGGCTGCAGTTAATGTTTGGCCAACAATTTTCAGCAATGTTCTTTCGTATTAGGAGATTGAAAATCGACTTTTGCCGAACAGAGTGGTGCTGAAAGGGACACACACAGCTCAAATGTCAGTATTTCAGGCAGCAGGATTTGCCCAAATGCAAGCATTGTATGGATAGCTTTACCATTCCTACTCTATCTAAAACTAAGAAAGACAAATTTGCTTGAGCATACACTTTAACTACATAAGTGAAAAAAGTGGTGATGGCGTAATTCATACCAATAATTTCAAATACATTGATTGTACACAGGTATGAAAAATGAATGCTAATTTGTAGGGATGTCCCGATGCCACTTTTTTAAGACCAAGTACAAGTACTGGCCCCCATGTACTTGCCGATACCAATTACCGATACTTTCTCTTCTGCTGGTGGCTTTCACTGGCGGCTGAAGACGTTCAGATCACGGACAGTAATCTGTGCAACAGCGTGTTCCTCTGTATCAATAGTGGATACGATAAGGAGGGGTTAGGTTGGTAGCACTGCCCACGATACTGTTGGAGCGTGATGGGATCAGTAGCTGTCACACCTGATTATCAGTGGAATGGTATGCAAGTTATTTGGAAATACAATTATAGTGCCCCCCTTCTATAGTAACCATGTCTTTCTCACAAGACAAGTCCTGGCAATGAGTGCTGTAGCATACAGCGTAATGGCAGGCAGTAATATAGACAAGTTGCACCTAGGTGCCAGGTACTTGCTGTTAGGAGTTTAGCTGGATAGTGAGCAAAGGAACTGAGGGAGGGGAGCTGCAGCCAGGATGGATTGTAGCATAAGGTAGCTGGCTGTGAGTCCAGGGAGACAGCCAGTAGGTTCAGGGTTCAGCTTGTGGTTGAGGGTGAGTAGAGAGGAAACGATTGCTCAACGTTCTACCACACTAGAACGCCGAGCAATCAAATTCGTCTCCATCTTAACGGGAAGTGACGCTTGCGGGGGGAGGAGCCGCCGGCAGCCGCCGACATGCATGCCTCAATGTTACGAGCCGGCCCTTGAGAAGGAGGCGGCGATCGGTTCTGCAGGCGTCAGGAGAGGTGAGTCTATGGCACACTGCTGTGGGCGGAGCTCCAGATGGAGTCCTCTGGGCAGTCGCCGGCCAACTACATTAGACCCCACCTGGAGCTCCGCCCACAGTAGTGATGTGACGCTCCTCCAGCCTGCCCAGAGGATCCCAGCCACCACGGAAGGTAACAAAAAAAAAACCAGCGCAAGCTTCGGCGCTAGGCATCGGGGCATTTTGACAAGTACTTGTCAAAATGCCCTGTATCGGGTCCGATTCCGATGCTAGCATCGGTATCGGGACATCACTACTAATTTGGTTGTACAGAGTTACTGTAGTCTACATATTGCTTATTGCCTTTTCTATAAGCCCAGCTGTGGTTTTCTATATTTATCATTTGGTGAAATATGTCCTAAAAAAATACAGAATAAAATATCTTTTAGATTGTAAGCCCTCAGGGGCAGGGCCCTCCTTGCCATCTTGTCTTAAATTGTATTGTGATTGTAATGTCTTCCTTATATTGTAAAGCTCTGCACAAACTATTGGCGCTATATAAATCCTGTATAAAATAATATAATATTGGATTACAGCCTTTATCAGGTTCTAGGAACAATAGCTTTTACCTCTCAGGTTCCTTATAGATATAATCTTTAATTCAGAGTTTATTTATTTATGTAACTTACCTAATGAAAAAATTTCCCACAGCAGCACGCCAAAAGACCACACATCACTCTGCGTTGTGTAGATTTTATCAAAAATAGCTTCAGGTGCCATCCATTTAAGAGGTAACCTAGCCTGTGAAGAGGGTAAACATCCATCAACATTCCATTGACATTTATTGAACACTCATACCTGACTAAGCCCAATTTCATCTTGAAGAAATGTGTGTAGGTATAAAAACACTTTCTGAAGGTTGCTGAGGGTTATCATGATTGTGTGAGGTGCATGTTTCACTCATTGGAGCTCTTATTACACAGCTCTCTGCACTTGTCATTCACTGGCCTCATCCTTAGATGCAGCATGGATCTGGGAACAATGCCAGGGGCAGGGGAGAACAGGATTATGCCATATTTAATAGCTGCTGGTTCCAGGTATGTTTTATAACAGAAGTAGGGGGATTCACAACCAGCTTTTTACTAAAAGCTACAATTTCAGCTCATATGTGTTTGCAAAGTGGGGTGCCAGGTGTGCATGGGCACACCCTAATCACCCCAAGTGCAGTCCTTGGTGCCTGGGAAGCTGCAAGGGAGCATGGCTGTGGCTTCCCAGGCTTCTCATCCAATCAGGAAGCCAGGCAGGTAGTCCAGGCTCCTGCCAGACTCCTTGCTTCATTACTGCACCCCTGCTAGAAGAGGTAAGGGATAGTTGAAGAGATGAGCATCTGGGATGTGTATGTAAAAAATATAACTTTATATATATAGATATATATAGATATATATAGATATCTATATATATCTATATATATGTGTGTGTGTGTGTGTTTTTACATTTGTGTGCACACCTAATGCAATAGGCTGCGCAAGCCTATGTTACAGAGCTGAACACACACCTACAATGATACTATGATAGGTAAGAATAATAGTATTTCTCAACCTCCATGTAATGTAAGGTCCTAACTAGATATGGATTCATAGTAAACTGCATATTGTGTAATATATTAAGTTAACCTGTCAAATTACATTTTGACCGTGTGGCCAGATTTAATGTCCACTTTTTCTGCACTGTAGTGTTTCCATTATTAAAAAGCCACTAATTATCTGTATGTGCCAGAGGTGCTATTATCCCTGTTCACTCCTACAATTATGCTGTCAGATAAAACCACAAGTAACAGCTCTAAAGTCAATCTGTTTTAACCTTAAATGCAAAGTGAATTTCCACCTATCTTAGGGAATAAGGTGAAACAAAGTGAAAATTCAGTTTGCAAAGAATACCCAGTCATGTTCAAAATACATTTTTTTAAAACCCTGAATTTTCAAATGCATGTGATTGGATGATTGAAGTCAGCATCATTTCACAATATTCACAAATTCTCCCTTTGTTAAATACATTTTCACTTAGCCTATTGAATGAGGTGAAATTGTTGACTTCAATCATTCAATTATGTGCGAGCAAAAATAAATAAATACATTTTTCTTTGCACGTGATTGGGTATACTTTTCAAAGTAAAATTTCAGTATGCTTCATGTCATTCACTAAGTGAAGTAAAAATGTACTGCAGTCAAAGTTCACTTTATAAGTGAACCGTCTCTACTCCTTTAGTTAATCAGGGTCATTGTGCATTTAAACTGGAAGTAAAGTAAAAGTACAGCTGCTCCTGCAGCAATCAGTGGGATGTTTGCTTTCGTTCTTTAACTTTCACTGGTAGCAGGATGTAAAAACGAATTGCTATGGGAAATATGCTTTTTTCTTCAGTCTGTATACTCAAGGCCATTCACGTTCAGGGACACATGTGAAAGATATACCTATTATATCCCAAAATTAACCTGATTATTGTTAATGAAGTTAGTATAGGAAATTCTTATCTAAATATAGTCAGTTATATTACCGACAAAGTAGTCCACATACAAAACTGCAGAGTACAGAATAAGCCCTCAGGCCCTTGCCCCAGATACAGTATGTACAATGCTGAAATTATGTGTATAGGCTAACAAATTACATATATATTCATAGCAGGCATCAGCATCTGTGCATTGTAGACAGGACTGCAGTATACCTTCAGAGGCCCTGCAGTTCAGTTGTAGAAGAGAGTACTATACAAAAGGGAATGTCATATGTGGTTGATATTGTATTTTAAACGTACATCATGTAAAATATTTTGCGGCACCAAATTGTTTCCAGAACTCCCCATTCAAATACTAGCTTTTAGGGATATTGATTCAGCTGTTAAGTTCTGAACCACTTACGTAAGAGTTATTGTAATTTTCTCCAGCCAACCAATATAAAATATGAGAGAAGCAGAAGAAGAGTCACAAGGAATCTCATTTCATTTTAAGCTGACCCATCTACTATGGATTATGTCGCAAAGCTTTCCCTCCATATGCAGAGCACACCATTTCCTACATTATAATACTTACATCTCCTTTGCGCACGTAGTCTGGATCTTTGTAAATGTCACGGGCCAGACCAAAGTCACAGATTTTTACCACGTTATTTTCCGACAGGAGGATGTTCCTTGCTGCCAAATCTCGATGAATACACTGTAAGACAAAGCAAAGAAAGACATGCCTCATGACTACAGGATATAATATGAACAATAGACATGCATTCCAAGCCTTCAAAGTATGGTCCTTCATTCATTTACATATTATCAAGAGATTTACTCAAACAGAAGGTAGAATGTCTACACACTGTGGCTATGTGTAAGAGTATAATCTAGTGCAACATTTGGTAATACAGCAACTGGTATAGCTTTCTACAGTGCCCACTCTCTCTCTCTCTCACACTTAATCAGGCTTACCTCCTAGATCCTAAACCTAACCTAAAATGTTTAAAGAGGTTCTTCAGGAAATAAATAAACTTCACCGAGTTTAAAGCTTCAATGAGCAACAGTCCTGAGCAGATTAACATCCAAAGGGAGAAAAGAACTCAGAAAACAGAAATAGCAAAACAATGCTCGTTATTTAAATGGAGTGTGTTCTTTTCCTTCTTACTCTTGGACATGCGAGGGGAGACATAAGTGTCAGTGACAGAAAGAGAGTGCAGAAGACTCCGATACTTCATGTACTCTTGCCAACACCAGTTACTTAAAATCTGTACCACCACTTTTACACACTTTTTAATCTTAACTAAAGACAGCACCAGCAGAAGGAAGGCCTTCTTTAATTCTGTCCACCTGTCACAGAGAGAGTCTTCCCTTGAAAACTATTAATTGGTCTTCCTTGAGCCCAAGTGCTGGAGCACAGGCAGTATGTCACTCTTGTTAAGTTTAGTTAAATGTGGATTGTGTAGGTGCATTGTAAACAGCAGTTCACTGTTACATTAATAGACGTAAGGTGCACTGGACACTGATGAGTTAAGCTTATCTATAAATGCACAATGCATTGCATGCAGTAATTCAGGGTAGTTTGATTGGGCAAAGTATTCAGCCAATCAGGGCTTCACGAGGCACAGACAGTTTGTGTGTTCGCTGAACACATGAACTGCCGATGTTCGAGGCCTTGCCTATTGAGAACCATACCCGGTTCCTTCCTCAGGTAAACAAAGTGAGGAAGCAAACTTTGCTTGCCTGAGGAAGGAACCGGTTATGGTTCCGAAAAGGTTGCCACACATTGTAGAACTACCTTGACTATGTCAATTAAGAAGAATTGATGCAAGGAATTTTGGAGTGCCAATAATCACTACTTTCATATATTGCCAAATGTGTTGCCCAAGGAATACAATTCAAAATATTGGCAACCACGTACAAAGCCATCCACAACTCTGCCCCCAGCTATATCTCCAACCTTGTCTCAAAGTATCACCCTGCGATCTGTGCTCCTCCAAAGACCTCCTGCTCTCTAGCTCCCTCATCAACTCCTCCCATGCTCACCTCCAGGACTTCACTAGAGTCTCTCCAATGCCAAGGAACTCCTTACCCCAACCTGTCTGACTATTTCCCACTCTATCTGCCTTTAGGCAATCCCTGAATACTCATCTCTTCAGGGAAGCCTATCCTGCCTCAACCTAGTTGCTAAACTATTACTTTTTCAAACACCACATTTCCACACAGGTAACACCTTTTGTATCACTTGTCCCTCCCTTTTAGATTATAAGCTCCCATGTGCAGGAACCTCCTTACCATCTTGTCTTGAATTGTATTGTGATGTATTCCTTATACTGTAAAGCACTTCACAAACTGTCTGCTCTATATAAATCCTGTATAATAATAATGTGTCATTTGCAGGAAGTAGCATGATGAAAGAGGTATTGTCAGGGTGCATCAGTCAGCACCCATAGTACAGCATCTGCCCGGATCGCTGCACGAGCCAATGCGCATGTGCATATTCGGTGCTACAGTACTAATAATGCGCATGCACAAAACGGATGCACACGCGCACCATGCACGTGCAATTGCGTGCGCACTCCTGTTCTTGCCGCCATACGGGCTATTTAAAGATGGATCCTGCATCTGCAACTTGCTGAGAGATCTTCAGCTGTAGTCTGCATTCCTGATCCTGTTTTGATACTTGTCTGACCCAGCTTGATTGCTGACTCTGCCTGCCTGCTGCCTGCCTTGTGAGCGCGGCTTATGTTCTGACCTCCCCTCCATCTTCTGATTTGGTACCATTCTACTCGCAAGTGTATGACCCAGCCTGCTCCAGAAATCGCTCCTGCTTCTGAACCACGCTGACCGCAGGTTACCAATCCGGCTTGTTCCTGACCTGGCTTCAGCTTCTCACACCAGTACTACCTGATCTGCTATCAGTCACCAGCTACCTCCGGCATCCAGCCATCAGCACCATCATCTCCAGTGGGGCTCAGACGAGAGCAGCAAGGGAAGGCCTTCCTCGTCACTTCAGGCTCACACCAAGGTTTGTGACAGGTATAGTGTGTTGGCACAAACTTTACTAAGCATATCTCTTATTCAGAAGCAAGCATATTGAATATCATGCGCAGGTGGCCAAAGTGCTGCTTGTCCTGGTAAGGGTGGGAAGGTGATGCATTTTCCTGGCCTCTAATTGAATGCCATGAGAAGCTTTTTTGGGTATAAATGGCAATGTGGCCACTCATCCTCAATATATAAATATTTTTTGTTGGAAAAAGAGGAGAAGCTCCAATAAAGTGACTTTGCTTATGCAAATCCAAACATCTGGGGATTGTAAAGAAAAAATGCAAGAAAAACAGGGGCTGTTGAACATGTGTTGGGATGGAGGCACGGCTTAAGCAAACCCAATTCTGTCTGGATTACAGGATTGAAATCCTTAGCAAACAGTTATCACCTCTGGAGTCCCTAAGACACCATGTAACTGTTTAATTCTCTATTGTCTATCAATAAAAGCAATGTTAGTTTTGGGTGGACTGACCCTTTAAGCATTTCTTTTGTCATGCCATGTATTTTTAGGTTCAAAGACTTTGTAAACGGATGACATCACTAAACATTTAGGGGTCTATTCACAAAGCTGCCGAGGGCAGCCGAGTGAATGACCGATCAGAATTACCATAACTTCCCTACCTATTTACTCATTTAATGTAGTGTAATGTATTTTCGTAACCAATTAACAATTTACATTTTTTAAATTGTAATATGTTTACTTGTGTTTTGCCTCTTCAATCAAACTTTGCACAGTTTAAAACAAACAAGGAATATCTAAGCTTTATGTAGAAAATATGAAATAGCATGTTGACAAAATGAGGTTGGAAAATAAAGAGGAAATGCTTATTTTGTGGTTTAAGTTTCCCATTTACTAAATGATATGTTCCAGAATAAATAAAATGAGGGATAACATGGTGAGGTAAAAAACATTAGCTTGCAAACTGGGCTGAAAATAAAGGTTATGTGGTGGGTTTGTACAGCCCCGGAATTCTTACTTTTCTCGATGCCAGGAACTCCATGCCCTTTGCCACCTGAAAGCTGTAACAAATCAGATCTTCCATTGTTAGCTGCTTCTTGCTCATATCTTCAGGGTCTGAAAAATAACACATTGGACTGAAGTTAGGAATACTCTCAATGCACATTGCAGATAAGCCATCTTTTCTGACACCTATTTAATGGCATTTTCCCAGCCAACGTCTTGATCTTTCTTTGATATCTCTTTAAATATTTCCTGCAATTAGTATAGACTTTTTATGTGGGATTAAATGTTCTGTGGGAATGACTTGGCTGCAGTGTGGGGGAAGCATGGTCCTTTGTGATAAAGCATAGTGTTATTCCTTTCAGGAACATGAAAAAGCCAGGCTGGACTTAAACTTTACAGAAAAGTGCTGTTCAGGAAGGCATCTGCATGACATCTGAGTTACAGAGTCAAGAACTTTGTTTGTAGTTCAAAGGTACAGTTCAACACTGCAACCTGACAATACATGCTTCCGAAAAGGGACATTTCATGGGGAAATTAAAGTGCAATAAACATGCCATATTTGTTTATATTTCTTTCTAAAAAAAATAATGAGAAAGCAATGACGTTCAGTTCACAAGAAGACACCAGAGAACTGCAACTGTTCATGTAACAAATCGGCAGAATACAGCATCCACTACTTTCTGTGCCTTTAACATGACAGCATAAGAAGAATTTTGTGCAGTGTACTTTAAAAGGGGTTGACATGCCAAAGATGTTAGTCTGAGCCAGATTTTACTACTGTTCACACTGAACCTTTACAGTCTTCTCTACATGAGAGACTTGGGTGGTTGCGAGCTGTTAATTAATCTTAGTGTGGTCTTTGGCACGGCATGTAATCTGTTCGTGACTCAGTCTGCCAAGCTAAAATTTAGTAAGCTTGTGCATGCTTTGAGGTTTTCACGCTCTACAAACTAGCTTTAGGTTCAGAAAGTCACAGCCGGCCTAGAAACATACACTGCAAGATCTCATTAGATGTAGTGACTCAGTTTGTAAAACTACAGCAAAGTACAGTGTAGGTGTTGGCTGTTGTAAACTAACCAGTGCAGATGATAAATACAAGCAGTAATCAGACTGACTGTATGGACTTCTCCTTTGCTCCAGTTTTCACTAAGGTGGTAACTTTTATATTATAGTTATTATCATGTTTAGCATATTTATTCCCCATCTATGAGATAAATATTGTGTTTATTAAGAAAGTGTGCAGTGGTGTGTCCAGTAGAGGGGGCATATACAAAGCCATTATTAGCAAGTACGGGTATGATATAATATTATATTTAAACCAATAATCATATATAACCCTACAGTACATGATTCATATGTAAGACCGTCAGTGAAGCCAATGGATATTTGAGTATTGTACAGATGCAATTTAATATGCAGCTGTATTAGGGCCATACTTGTATACAGCTATTGTATAACCACGTCCATGGTCCCATCACAGAATATGAGCATTTGGAACTGTCTTCAAATGCCCATATCTTCCAAGGCTGATATCTGTCATATTTGGCAATCACATTGTATCAGACCACCCAACACTGAGAAGCTAAAGTGACAGACACCCTTCTTTGAAGTTCAGAAGGTTGGATGTTCATAGGCTTAAATGATGGAAAGCTGGGTATATGCAGATGGTTTTACCATACATAATTTATAAAAGACAACCAGAAATCTTACCTATTGCAAAATTCACAGGGTTATTCACAAAAGGGTGAAGAGTTTGGAGAAGGCAGGAGAAGTGAACAATCTAGGGCAACATAGCTGAACTGGAAAGTGACGGGAATTGCAGAGATTGTTCACTTCACTCACTCCTGCCTTCTCCAAACTCTTCAGCCTTTAGTGAATAACCGTGTTAATTTGGACAGCTTTAGAACCACTCCTACCCCATAGCGGGATCAAACATGTAGGGTGGTATAATTTAGCATCCAACTTGAACTAATAAAATCCCTGGCATGTAAGCTATATCAACCCACACTTGTAAGTATAGCTTTGCCAAGCAAAACTGAATAATAACCTTAATATATTGGTCCCACAGCTATCCTATTACAGTATTCAGAACTAAATGCAGATTGTGTTAGTTTGCAGTAAATGTGGTTACTGTAATAGAATGACCACAGACGTTTACACGCAAATGCTCAGTCATTACAGCTTTTTGCACATGGAACTGCCGACACAGTCCTGTATGATTCAGGGCTGCACAAGTGGTATTCAGAATTACAGCATTTACATTGCTCCAAAGCATATGACTGTACACAAATCGTGACTCTGTGGGTGGGAGGAGCTTATGAAGCCTTCTTCCGGTGTCATAAAGTCAAGAAATTAGGATCTTTGCTACCCATAGTAGCTTTAAACTATAACTGTTTTTAATATCTTCTCAAAGATGAATTATTGACATAATCCAAACACACAAAAACCTACATTCATGAACATTTATAGCTGGTCTATTAATGTGCAGCAGATAATATTTATTGCTTTATAACATCTATGTATAACATTCTGTTACATTCTATACTTAACATTCTATAACATTCATGTCTTCAGTATGCTTGAGTATTTTATGTGGTTTTAATGGTGATCAACCATTGATACAATAAAGAGCAAATACAGGTGAAACTCGAATTATTAGAATATCGTGCAAAAGTTCATTTATTTCACTAATGCAACTTAAAAAGTTAAACTAATATATGAGATAGACTCATTACATGCAAAGCAAGATAGTTCAAGCCGTGATTTGTCATAATTGTGATGATTATGGCTTACAGCTCATGAAAACCCCAAATCCACAATCTCAGAAAATTAGAATATTACATGCAATCAATAAAACAAGGATTGTACATAGAACAATATCGGACCTCTGAAAAGTATAAGCATGCATATGTACTCAGTACTTGGTTTGGGCCCCTTTTGCAGCAATTACTGCCTCAATGCGGCGTGGCATGGAAGCTATCAGCCCGTGGCACTGCTGAGGTGTTATGGAAGACCAGGATGCTTCAATAGCGGCCTTCAGCTCTTCTGCATCGTTCGGTCTCATGTCTCTCATCTTTCCCTTGGCAATGCCCCATAGATTCTCTATGGGGTTCAGGTCAGGCGAGTTTGCTGGCCAATCAAGCACAGTAATCCCACGGTCATTGAACCAGGTTTTGGTGCTTTTGGCAGTGTGGGCAGGTGCCAAGTCCTGCTGGAAAAGTCAGCATCCCCATAGAGCTCATCTTCGGAAGGAAGCATGATGTGCTGCAAAATCTCCTGGTAGGCGGCTGCGTTGACCCTGGACTTAATGAAGCACAGTGGACCAACACCAGCAGATGACATGGCTCCCCAAATCAACACAGACTGTGGAAACTTCACACTGGACTTCAAGCATCTTGCAGTGTGTGTCTCTCCATTCTTCAGGTCTCTGGGTCCTTGGTTTCCAAATGAGATGCAAAATTTGCTGCTCTCATTGTTTCACCTGTATAAATAGATTAAGTAAATCTTTTATTATTCACATGGGTTGTACACCGAGCTGCTTTCTTGATACAGACCAGAGGTGGCAACTTGACAAATGCCAAAAGGATACCTGCCTTTACCAGCATTTTTAAGCTAGAGTTTTTATGGTCTGCTTAGCTTACACCAGCCCTATTTTAACACAATACGAAAATGCAGAGGTTGCCTATACAACCACAGGCTACATTTAATGAATCAACCCTGTCATATCAATTTATAAATACTGTTACTCTCCTTTGTTTAGCAATGTTTATGTGCATACAAAATGGGTTAGTTTGCTTTATTTGCCATGGCTGGTTTCCATTCCAAGTCTAATACTGCCCAGGTAAGTGCAATGGGAGTTGGGTTTATCAAATACTAATGCAGTATGAATATATGCACACTATCACTGTTTCCTTTCTCTAATTGGGCAGGGAGCTTCTGGAAAAATGTCCCACTGAATTGAGAAGGTGAATGTTCTTTTACCTTCCCTGCTCAAAATGGGCATGCAACAGAAGTGCTCACCTGTTGTTTTTCTAGTTCTTCTCTAGAAAAGCAGTGGAGTTCAACATATAATCACCACTAGGATGACGAATAAAGGAATCGTTTAATTACCTTCTTCCTCCTCCTCAGAATCACTGTAGCTTTTGTCTTCTATGAATCCTGAGCTGGCTGAACTGCCCGTACTGGCAACACTTTCCAACCTTCTCTTGATTAGCTCAGAGAGGTCACTGCTGGAGTCATCAGCTGTTTTTTCCATTTCCTGGGACTGAGAACAAAACAAGAATTTAAAAAAAAAGAAATCTAAGTGGATATGCTCATCACATACAAAATGTAGCAACTTTACATATTTTAGTTAGTTATGTGTTTGCTTATTGCACCCTTCAGATTTGGAAATAATGCTGTAACTACTCATTATCTTATCATTTGTTTTTTCTTTGGAATTTGTTCCATGACAAGGAGCTAATTCTTTTCCATCAGCAAAAGTATTTCCAAATTCATAATACTCAATACAATAAACACAGCAACAGAATGAATGTTGTTTCTACTTCAACACACAATCATAGGCACCATTCCTTTAGTCCTGCAGGCTACACTATTGATACCTATAATTTGTGAAGTAATGCCACTCTATGAGCTCTATTGTGAATGGATTGCCTCAAGGCGTCTACTGTGTAAGCATTAAAAAAATGTTTAACCGATCTAGGCTAAAGCACACATGGACTAAAATACTTTTTCATTAACACTCACAAATAAGTGTGCTACATTCTCTAATTTTGTGGGAATTCAAGTACGAAAATACTCATTGCTCAATCAGAAATAAAGTATATTGGTGAAATTCTACACAACAATCTTATACTGTGACAACAGTTGAAATCATGCATCTAATATTTATTATCTTTAGCCATTATTCAAAAAGGAAGAGAATAGAATGCAGAATAAAAGTTAAGAAATCTGGTGCCTGGACACATGACCAAAACTAGGGTGGCAGAGCGGCATGTTCCTCCGCCGCCACATTAGGAGGGGCGCCACTTGGGCAGACTGATCACTCTGGCACTGCCCATGGCCTCAACTACTAGCATGGGCGGAACTACTAGAGTCGCATCGACCCGACCCTGGCATACCACCACTTCCTGCCATACAGGACGCTCCTGCACACACGCAGGCAGGAGAGAGCCTGCACGGCTCATACAGACACCGCTGCATCAGCCAGTGGTGGTACCAGGATCTGAGGGAGACAGACAGAGATGGCATTGGAGGAAGATGAAGGGCTGGGGCACAGGGAGTTTGTGAATGCTCCCCCACCCAAGGAGAACCCCTAGGATGCAAAAGTGAAACTCAGCAGGTTAAAAGCAAAGCAGGTGACCTGTGACCCTAACCCTAAAGTCTCAAAATGGTGAGTGAAATATTTAACAATAAATTGCATTACACACATTGCTGTCACTACCATGTTTTGCATTCTTTAGTATCATGCTCTGCATTCTTTACTGTTGAGCACTGCGTTCTTTACTATGTGTTGCATTCTTTACTAATGTGCTCTGCGTTCTTTACTACTGAACTGTGCACTCATGACAGATTTAGAGGGGAACTTCTGGGAAAATAGAAGCGAGCCCAGAAGCGGCTCTTTAATTAACAAAGCAGCACTGGAGAATGAGGCGATTTGGAGCCTCACCTCTGCGGTTTGTTTAGGAGGGGCGTCGTTGTGACAAAAGAAGAAGAGAGCCCAGAAGTGTGGGGTGTGTGTGGATGGAGAAAGTCTCCTGGAGGGGGGCGACTCTGAATCTTTGCCCCACTGCAGTGACAACAATAATGGAAATCAAGCTGAAAGAGGGAGCTATAATAAATCAACTTCAACACAGGTACATAATTTTTACCTTTATTTACTTTTTTGTATGTTATCAAAACAAGTAACAGGGCAATACATCATAAATGTTCTAACAGAATAGTAAATGATATATATATTTTTACACTGAACCAATAGCAAGTACCAGAACTTTTCCCTACTTTGAGATACTGTTATGACACCATGTTGCTCTGCTGATCCAATGTTGCAATACTATTAACATACTGCATATAGTGGTCGCTGTTGATCTTAAACTTGAACACCAGTCAGATATATACATTGGGTGGCTTTGCGTGGCTTAGGGTCGGCCGAACATGCTCTGCATGTTTGGCCGACCCGAAGTGTAGTAGGAGTTGGACTCAGACGATCCAACATCTGGATCGGCTAAGCCGAACCCCTGGCAGGCTACTCGCTGCTGTTCAGTCTATTCTTATAGATGCCAAACAGCAGTGAGTGAATAGCCGAATGCCGATGAGGGGCATTCGGCTCGGCTGTTCTACTCGGTCCCTCTTTGATTCATTTTCACAGTTACAACCAAGAAGCAGCATAGACTACTGTTCAAACAAATGCTTAAAGGAAACCTTACTGAGGAGATTATTATGGACTCTCATTGCAGACCTCTCCATTAAAAATGCTAGCTCCCTACCTGTTCTGCTGATTGAATGGGTTCAGTATATTATGAGTTACACAAGTATGAGGATCAGTAGTCCTTCTTTCTGACTTTACTTGCTCTGTATCTGTTTGGGGATCGGACACTTAAATTATTGAAGCTAGTTAGACATATCTGTTTTTGCCAGGAAAGAAATCATTGATCTAGACTCTCTCCTGCTGCTGGTCATGTGATTACTGATGAGATACTGATCACATGGTCTCATGTTGATCACATGTTGAAGGGTAATAGTCAGACACAGCTGCCACCCAGGTAGCAAGCAATTGAGCTGTAAGTTTGAAAATGACTTGCTAAACTATTGCAGACTTGCCAAGCTTCACAATTTTGTTGCACAATTACAGCAAGTCTGCATTGCAAGTCTCCAGACCAGCGAGCTTGCAGAGCCCTTGCTAAGACCTTGCAGGACTCTTGCTGTAGGCTTGCCAAGCAAATTTGCTACAAATTCAAAAAGTGTCAACTAGAACTTGTGCTGCAAGTGTTCTGCAAGTCTACAACTTGCAAGGGAATGTGTGCAGCAAGTTAAGAATTACAATTTAACCCTGCCACAAGTTTGTGGCAAGTTACCCTTGCTATCTGGGCAGTCAACAGTTTGGGCTGAACACTGCTCCTACAATGATAATTGCTCTAACATTGGTCATGTGAGGTTTCCTCAGGAAAAGACTGAAAAGTATTAAACAATTTTTGTTAGTACCTTGGGCAGCAGGGAGCAAAATCATTTTGGCTTGTTTGTTATTACTGTAGGTGATAGGTTTAACTATATCATTTAATGCTGCTCTTTTAATGACCATGCTTATTTGTTTATGAACTATTAAATACTGTAGATATTTAAAAATGTGCATATGCTTTAAATGAGAACTGCAGCCATCACTTTTTTTTCTAAAAGAGTAGGAAAGATTTAGAACTTCTGTCATGTTCCTTGCTGTCTGTCACTCCTTGGGAGATTTAACCTTATCTCTTGTCATATCACTAGGGTACAAACTAATGGGAAAGCTCTCCAAAAGGGACATATCCAGAAAAAAGTACACACATAATATAATAAGGTGTACAGCTCTTCTCAGATCTTATTGCAATTTGTTACCTAATGGTGAGATTTACTGTCATTTCACCTCATTAGAATTGGAAGTAAGGAAAATTTTACTATGAACAGACATGAGCTGAACTTGACCAAAACCTTTACCCACTCAAAACTAAAACAAACAAATAAAAGAGTACAAATATAGCTAAGAAATGTAAAGTGTAATATGCTCTAACCTTCATCTTTCAGGCTTCTTGTACTGTGAAGCAGGTTTTTCGGGTCTTCCACAGATCTCTCACTACAAGTTTGCATGGTGTGGCTGATAGAGGTTGGTCTGCAGATAGTGCCTTTCATGTCCATATATCTTTCTTGATATTTATGGGAGACACAGCTTACAGTAATAGTGTTGAAAGAGTGTTCATGTTCTCAAGTAGACACAATAATCACCAGGGAAGCTAACAGCTCTTGCAATCCAAGAGAAAAGGTTGGTCAAGCTTTAAAAACCACTTTTCTCTCCAAGCATTTTCCTGTAACCTGCTCTGTTTTCTCCAACACATGAAATAAAAATATGCTCTTTTCTTCTCAAAAATGAAGGCATTATTTATGGCACCAGATACAAATGTTCAACATAAAACATACTTTTAAAGTGACACTCCCATATGAAATTGCAGGTTGAACTTTTTGTATTGTTACAATGTATGACCTTTTATACAAAAATATTTGCAATCAAGGAAACATTTGCAACACTTTGCAGCAATACAAAACTTAGAAAAGCTGTTGTTTTAGGCAAGATAGAAGATTAACGTGATATTAAAAGCAAAACGTTTTTAAGCTATTTCAAATGCTGATGAAATCACTGATATGGATGCTGCCCCTTAATGTTTAAAAATGTTAGCTACCTGCAGAATCAGCTGGTTCACTGAGCGCTGTCCCTGATATCCTGTTTTAGGGTGCCTACCATTCCTTTTAAAGGCCCCTTTGGAGCCACCCTTGTGTGTGCTAGTAAGCTGTGTGTGTCTCCACAAACACATAGGCTTGCAAAGCAAGCTAGTCCCCTGGTCCCTGCTCCTCCATCTTCTCTCCTTCCTTCTCCAAGCTAGTAGATATACAGATGCTGCAGAATGCTCTGTCTCTTGTGATCTTGTACTGGACAGGAAGTTCAGGGAAGCCAAGCTGAGAGAGTTGGAGGCAGCTGTTTGGAAACATGATGACTGTAAGTGCTTGGGCCAAATTTCTAAAGAGATTCTTTGCTGGGCAATGTATATTTGTTTGATCTGTATTCTTTATTGAAAAACATGTTTTAGAGTTTAATACTAGTTTTAGGAATGCTGTCATTAATCTGGTTAAAAGTTCAAATATTAGTTTCCACGAAAATCCACAGCTGGTAAGTTGTGGAGTATAAGCCAATTCCATTATGTAATGCCATTGTGTATTGAGGTTCAATATGCAGCACACTGTATACTGTGGAGGCACAATGAGAACGGGGTCTTCTGCATTCCAGGCTGTCACAAATCACAGCTTGAAAAGAAAATTACCATCAATTTCCATAATGCAATTCCTTCTCTGCCACTTGTGCTATATTATAAATATATACAGTATATATCATCAATTTCATTGTCACAACCTTAATGCTCTATTTTGCTGTCATATGGAAATAGTCAGTGAGCCCCAGCAGGAATTGGGAGGGAAACAAAGGTTTTCCATGAGAACGTTGGCTACTTTCCTGGATAAATGTCACTGTGTGCCATTGATTTGACAGAACAAAACTAGCATGATATCATAAAGAAACATAAGCTAATATTCCAATTCCGAAAGAAAATATTTAACGGTTCATAATATACAAGTGCAACAAAGTCAAGTTTAATTGCACAAGTTGCAATATTCTTATGTTTAGCAAGTACATCTACAGTTGTTTGTCTTAGCTCTAGATAAATAGGTCTAGGGGTCAGAAGGTGACAGAGAATAATTCATTATCAGCTAATGTCTGAGCTAATTTCCCCATTAAGCAAACCCTTGGAGATCTTTCACTGTGTTCATTCAAAAACAAAAAAACAAACATGTATCTGTGACTTTGTACTATGGTTTTGAACCAACTGGGGTTGAATGAATGCACAATATATTACATTGGAAGAAAAGTCAAAAGTTTGTTGTAAAAAAGGGAAATTCCTTATCCCTACAGTCTTCAGCCACATGGCCAATTCTGAAGCATTGGTCACTTGGCCTCTGCAGATGTGCAGCATTTAATATGACTGATAGTTCCCCTAGATCAGTGGTGGCCAACTCATTAAATATAGGGGCCCACAATTGCGATTTCTGACATGCCGCAAAAATAGTTTAGTATCAACAACGAATGTGTTGCATCACGTGCATTAAAACCGCTGTTTTACCATTTTTACCACAATGCACAGTAATGTGTGCAACGCCGTGAATGCATTAGAGTGCCATTAATTCTGAATGGTTCCCTAATGCACCATTACAGTACTGGACAATGCAACTGCACTGCAGCAGTCCACAACACACATGCCATGAACTCTGATGTATTGCGTAAAAAAAAAAAGCCATGTACGATTTCTAGTGTGGTAAGATGCGCTGCAAACACATTCAAAATGAATGGACTGCCTTAATGCAGCGCATGTTAGGAGCACGCACAGTATGGCAAATTCACTAGTCAGCAGAGTCTCTCGAGATGATGCACAATGATACTGATGAGCAGAGCAAAAAAAAAAAGGCTGCAGAAACAAATATGGCTACCTCATAGTATGATAGAAAATCATTCCCGTCCAGCTCCTCTTTGCAGAGTAGGAAGTAGGTTTGCCACTGCTGTCAATGTTATGTGGAGATTCTGCCTCTGAATTTAATCTGCTTTGGAAACCAGTGTGCAGGTAGTGCAGTGTACACGGGCAGCCTTTGTTTTCATTGTAACTGCACTATCCTTGGTATTCGGCTGGTACATCGGAAACTGTTAGATTTGCCTTTACTTGGTGTCCAACACTAGCGGGCCACACACAGGGGGCTGACCTGCAGGCCCATGTTGGGCACCAAGGCCCTAGAACCTCTAATGGAGACCTTGTAACTTAAGTTGAAGTACTGGTCAAAGGACCAAACACAGAAGGGATGTGGAATTTCCTTTGTTACAGAACAAGGATTTTTTTCTAGATCCTTTGTTACATTTAAGTGACCTTGTCAACAGACTATTCATATCAACAACAATCTCCCCATAAAATGATATGTGCATTCAACATACATTATGCATCTTGCATACGATATCAGCAGCCCCATAAGGCTCAGAGCTGTCACTGAAGTGACACTCTATAGCATTCCCCTTCATTCCTCGAGCTACTTTTAGTATAAATAGATTCGATTTTGAGACTACTGTTTAACTTAAGTTGAAACACTTAAGATGGCCACACATATCGTGATCATCTATTATCATCAAATTATTTTTGTCCTAGAATATTTGGAATATATTATCTAATAATATTTAGAATATATAGGGGTCTATTCACTAAACTGCCGTAGGCAGCCGAGTGACTAACCTATATTAAATAATAATATCACACATACAAATTCTGCCTGTCCTACAGAACATTAAAGTGTATCTATACACAATTACTTAAAGGATAAGTGTACTTTTAAATAAACTACACTTATTCTTTATCTCTAGGCTCCTGGCTAAAAATTTAAACCACCCTCCCCTCCACAGATCCATAGTTACCTTAATGACCTGCCCATGTCCTCTTCCGTCCTTCATCCACTGGGTCTCCTGGAATCAAAAATCTTCCCAGTGCTGGCCTACACACTATATTCCAACAGTCTTGCATAGGCAATTGTATCAAGCAAAATCTTATTAGTGTTCGGCTGCATTTTTAGGGAGCTACATATGCAGATTCAACGTGACAGACTCCTAAACTAAGCTCCAGCCAACACTTTTTGGCTAAGGTTAAGAAACTGTCAGATGTGTACTCCTCTTTGTGCCCCTAATGGGGGGGATTTTTCAAAAAGGAGAATAAATCCTTTCAATGGGGACACACACTGAAAAAATGTATTAGCAAGCATAGTAGGGAAGGTTTAGAACATCTGTCAGGATTTTACCACTCTCTATGTGCCATGGTCACCTATCCAAAGCAATAAAAAAGAGTTGGCTATTCCATGGGAATCCCTACTTAGATATAAACCTGCGAAGGCTTGTACAACTGACAGCATAGTGCTACACATTTTTGCAGTTGTTGTCAAATAAGCAAACACATAACAATAATTACATACCCATTAATAGGCTACATACATTACAGTACAATAGACAGGCATTTTTTGTTGTTGGAAGAATTTAATAAAATTCAGCCATAACGATTATAGACAAGATGCAGCACACCCATAGTAAGCCATTTTCGGTTACTTACATGTAACTCAAATTAAAAAATGATTTTCCTGTGGGATGCTCTGGGTTGCTGCGCATTGCCGTTTGTTTTACTAAACAGAACGAATGTTTAGCAAACAACATAATTATTTTCCATGGATGACTGCCAGTTTATGATGTAAATCCATAAGATATCTGATACCTTACATAGACACATTGTTACATTATGTTTTACACATACTGTATTTACTAGGATAGAGCAAAGCATTCTGAATCCTTTAACAACATTTCGACACTAACATCATAGTTTCATATCATAGAGTGTTTGTACCTTGTAAGCTATGAAGTCTCCTCTTTTGCTTCTTAAATAATTTGACAGATTTCCATACTTGCAATATTCCACAATGATCATAAGAGGCCCTACAGAAGAGACACTAATCAACAATTGTAGGAAAAGAAAACATTTACAATATTTATAATTTTATAATATCTGAGATATCATTATCAGCACTGTTTACTATTACAATGATCTGGAACTGCGTCAGTATCAGTTATATGGCAACGATGATGCTATGAAAATATTCCTTTGCTACAGTGAAGAAAAATAGGGACCAGTTTACTAGATGTAATATAAACACATTGCCAGGCATGAACCGAGGGGCCATTTGAACTTTTTCATTTTTGACGGTAGTCCACCAACAGATTTGTTAGTAAAATTAGACGCTGGCCAATTAGGAAGCCAGGCACCGAGTCATTACACCCCCCCCTCAAACTTCTGGGATCCCAAACTTCTGGGATCCAGAAGCCGTGTAGCGAGTGATTACGCGCACTTTGTGATGAGGGAGCATGGTGCCGGCCAATCAGGACTCCTGATTGGTCGGAGAGATGGCCAATGAGGAAGCCGGATGGTGACGAGGGAGCATGGAGGCGGCTTCCCGGCCAATCAGGAAGCCGGGTGCCGTGTAATGACTCACTGCCTGGCTTCCTGATTGGTTGAGACGCTGGCCAATTAGGAAGCCAGGCACCGAGTCATTACGCCCCCCCACCCCCGACTTCCTGACTCCGGAAGCATGGAGATGGTTTTCCTGCTAATCAGGAAGCCAGCTGGCGAGTCATTTTACGCCGACTGGTTTACTTAATGGAACTTCCGGTAGCAGTATTCGGTATAGAAAAACGGTGTTGGTGCATCCCTAATACAAAGTCAACTTCAGATACATACACTCCTTGTACTTCATTATCAATCAGCTTCTCTCTTCAGTTTGTTCAGTTAAGATTTGAAAATGAAAGATAGAAGCTAATTGGTTGCCGTGCACAGCTGCTCCAGATTTTGTCTGCTCCCATTTTGATAAATTCACCTCATAGAGTTTTTAGTTTGCATCTGTTACATCTGCCTGGATTTCAGCTTTAATCTAATCTCTATTCTACTGAGAGATGAGATGTAACCACTTATTGGCAGTCACCTAATTTGCCACACACAGAAATAATTATGTTGCTAATGAGTTAATGAGATGATTGTCAACAAGTGGTTAAATCTCTCAGTAGTAAGAGATTAAAATCAACTGTGGAACACAAGCCGAAACTCCAGCTATGTTAGCTGGGTGCTGCACATTAAGGCCGTGCTGCGTGCACAGCCGTATCGGGGCAGCTCCTGGGAAGGACAGGTGCTGCTCATGATTAGTACACAGCCCTATCCTTCTCTATGGGAGTACCCGGCCATACGTCGCCCTATGCTCACCTGCCCTGCACGTCCGTGCGGGTATCCGCACTAATATGCTAATGGAATGGATCCTTTCTGTGTCCGAGCCGGGGCACCCGCATCCATAAGGAACTGCACTTGAGGTGAGTGTAGGGCGGCGTATGGCCACGTACTTCCATAGAGAAGGACAGGGGCTGCATACTAATCACACGCAGCACCTGTCCTTCCCGGGAGCGGCACGATACGGCCGTGCACGCAGCACGGAGCTGTACGTGCCAACCTTTTTTCGTGTGAATGAGGCTTAAAAAGGCAATTCACAATAAGCAAGTGTCATCATGCTAGAATTAAATCTAATGTGCAGCTGAAAGCCACCCTGTTGCTAACTAAAAAGTACTTAAAGGAGAACTATGGGGTCAGTGTTTTTCCCCATAGTTCTCCTTAGGGTAACGGGAGGACACAAACTAGTGTCCTCCCGTTACCCTAAGCTCAGTATACCGCGAGCTACAGCTCGCGGTATACTGAGACGCCACAGCCGGAGCGGATCCCGACTTAGATGACGGGATCCGCCCAGCTGCGTGAGTGACAGCTGGCTCTGCCTATCTAGAGGCAGAGCCAGCTGTACCCGCCCCCTCCCCCGTCCGTTCCACCAGTCAACGCTGCCAGATCGGAGCGGGGAGAGTTGAATCCAGCCCCTCCCCCTGTCACAGCAGAGAGCCGTGACAGGATCGAGAGGCGAGCGAACCCGGTATGTGTTCTCTCACCTCCCGATCTACTGAGCCGACCTGTGACAGTCTCATTGTCACAGGTCGGCTAGAACTATGAGGTGAGTGAAAAGCACTCACCTCATAGTTCTCCTTTAACAGCAGCCACTGTGTAAAACAATAGGCTTTAAGAGCTCCCGGCATCACAGCTATCCAACACATCCAGGTATGTCAGATATTAGGTTCCCTGCTGGGCGCCGTGGTTCCTCCCACTGACCCCTTTGTCACTACTGTTTTCTGTAGTGATTTTAAGGGTTGGCTTTACTTTCTTTTTAGTTACACTATATACAATATTTCTCTGTTGACCTAAGAGATCTCACTTGCAACAACCTGCTAGCAACATGTTAGCAAAATATATACAGAAAGATTTAATTTAAAAAAAAACAAAAGCCAACAGACTTAAGATGGCTGTCTGACATTGTCCTACCACAAATCTGTGAATCAGGAATACTAGGAATAATATCCAGTTCAGCACTGAGCAATACTGTTATCATATATGCAGTTGTTAAGATGACCTTACTGCCAAATGTTATGCATTTTAAGCTTGCAACTGCATTTGCTTTCATATACAATAATTATTGTAATCATATCAAACAATAGCTTCAATTGCTTTGCTATTATTTGGTTGAAGTCTGATCTAATATTTTTCTCTTTAAACAGATTCATCTCACCAAAAATTGTGGACAATGCTCACAGAAAAAATATTCAGCAAATTTCCTTAGATCCATCAGGCATAAATCAATATATCTTTCTCAGTAAATGAATGATGGAGCACATTAAAAATGCAATGGGAATGTGTTCAATGGGCATGCAATAACCAGTATTTCCCTTTGATGAATATGAGCTAATGTTTGGTTTTGCATAACCCCAGACCATCAATTTACTTAAGAATGCAGTCATTAGGATGCAGTTAATGTAGAGCCACTTAAGTTATTTGTTTGGAATTTTAATCTTCAGATCCTCATGTACAGAAGGCCTTTGGTGCTGAGTTGAATGATGTGTCACAACAGTGGTTGGCAGCAGGATTCCTCCAGAAGATTGTGGGTTAATGGTGGCCATATAGATTCTTACCTCCAGGCTTGGTGCAAGCTCCCAGTAAATTCACAACATTTAAATGATGCCCAATATGGATAAGGATCTTCAGCTCGGACATTAAAGCCTTGCATTCGTTGTTTGTTGCACACTCTGTTTAAGATAAACAGGACACAGTCATCTCTGCACAAAGGGATATTTTTACAAGGCTCAGAAAATCCTGTTTAGGTTAAGGGGGAGACATCAAGAGACAAAAGGAAAACAACCACAGCCCTTGTGAGGAATCTCAAACACAAGACGTGCTCACAGGTCATCCTTTTCCTGACTATTGTAGGATGGAACTTATTTAATTGTAGTGCACAACAAATACACGAGCTTTAGATAGGCAGAAGTGCACCCTGTGGTGTCTGACTGATGGATAGAACAAGCAAGCTTCTTAGCTGATGACTAATATCTCCATCCTAAGCAAATGATCAGAGTCTTGGAATTCATAATAGTTTTCCTGCTTAATAAAAGGACATTTTGATATTGTAGTCAACTGTTTTCTCCAGATGTATTACAGAAAGATCTGACAGAATAATATTAATAACAGACATTGGGCTTCCTAGCTGACTTTACAAAACATCAAATGTAAAATGTGTATCATTTCACTCATATAGTTAGGTTTCAGTTCTAAAAGTATGCAGCCAGTGAAGTCAAGGATCTTATCTCCATAAATGTTCTGTGCCACTAACTTAGTAGAACAAGCTGAAGATGATAATTCTGTGGCTTGTCCTACTGAAGCCAGGTTGACAAGTGGCCTCAACCTCATTGACAGCAAGTGGAGGATCATAGGAGTGATTTCCAAGTAAAGATATAAAGCAGAGATTCTCCAAGCAATGCTTCTGATGAAAATAAGGCTAGCCATACACATTTCAATTTCTCTTGTTTAGCCCTGGGGGCTGAATGAGAGAAATCTTTCAATTCACCCATCTACACTAAACATTGTAGATGGAGGACTCTCCCCTGACAGCTATTGTATTCCGCCAGCTGCAACACCTCTGGCTGCCTGAATACTTGAACGGCGACTGCATCTGATAGGTTGCAGTCGCCGTTTAGCCAATAATCTTCCACCCAGCTCCTTTTTTATCAACTTTTGTGGAGCCAGGTGGTACCTTAAAGCGGAATTCCAGGAATTTAAAAAAGTAACCCTTGCAGTGGGGCTATACCTGCACTGCAAGGGTTAACTGTTCATTTTGTTCTAGGGGCTCAAATAAAAAATATACACTTACCTGATCCTCAATCCCAACAGACTGCTAGGCCAGTCCTTGCAGGCTCTTCTCCCTTGGGCTCTAGCTGTCTTAGGAATCATGATGTTATCGCATCTAATTCAGTCAATTTACCTGCATTAGATGTGAGGACATATTACAGCTGGAGCAGAGAGTGAGAAAAGTAAGCGATGACTGCCACAGGACCGAGGATCAGGTGAGTATATCTTCTGTTTTCCAGCCCCTAGACCAAAATAAGCAGCTAACCCTTGCAGTGTGGGGGTAGCCCCGCTGCAAGGGTACATTTTTAAAATAACTGGTGTTCTTATTTAAGTCCTCTACATGTGGCTAGATGTTTGACGTCAACACAGGTTCTACACTAATTATAAAAAGATACTTTAGTCAATAACTAAATCTGCATATTATCTAACATGGTATGAAAAATAAATTGTGCCTATTAGCACAGACAAAGAATACAGCATTACATATGAAGAATAATGCCAACTTCTCAATGGAGAAACCCAATTTAAAATGATACCTTTAAGCATCTTAACAGCAACAGTTTTGCATGTTGAACATTTATCAATGCCAAAAGCAGAGGCTTCCACCACCTTCCCGAAAGCGCCATGGCCCAGCGTTTTACCTGCAGTTGAAAGTAAACAGTGAGCCACAGCGTGAACAAATAACACAGGGGTGCATGCCAAGGAAACCATGCAAAGACACCAAGGGGCAGATTTATGAAACCTGGGGAAGTATTGAAGCTGTTGCCTATAGTAAGCCATGTCGGGTTTTCCCCCACTCTGGTTGCCAATATAGGTGACTTTTCTTTGCTTCAGAAATCTGCCCCACAATTAATGCAGAAAAAGAGTTCACAATGAAGGAAAACAAACCAACGGGGTTTATCAAAAATACTTTTAACAGGGGAATAGGTACAGAAAGTAGAGCTTAATGAAACACAGCAGATACTGCAATTTAAAAATAAAAAAGTAATAATAATAAACTAGGAAAGCATGTTTGTAGAAAATCGCACATTATACACAATATTATATATACAATATTACCTACAACTGAAAATGTTTTGTTGCTACTGACAACTCTTAAGCTCATAATGATGTTGCAGGATGTTGTAGACTAGCATTCCTAAACTCCCTTTTAGCCAAAACCATTTGTGCCTTTGTTTTATTTGTAATCTAATTTTATTCTCCTTGCAAATGCCTCGTTGATCTTGCCAGGGAGTTGCCCCAATCGGTTAGTGATGGAAATGATCTGCAGGTACATCTAAGCTCTGCAGTATTGTAACTGCTTTGTGCATGCCCTGTTTCTTTATACAAACTAAGGCTAGCTTACAGGTTACTATGATCATTGATGATCATGTGACCACTTGTCCTCCACTCCTCTCTGCACAGCCCAGGGAATAGGCTGCTGGGATGTCACCAGGACATGTGATGCATTGTAACTTAGCTCCGCCCACTGACCAGGGCCATGTAGAGCCCAGGAAAAGCGAAGGAGTCACATGACCTGAAGATTTTCTTTATAAAGAAGATATTTTAAATTTTCTTTTTTACACTATGTGGTGTCTATACCATGACCCTGCACTGTTTTGTAATGTAAGGAAAAATATAGGGTTAACAACCATGACTGGGCTTATCCAAGAATCTGAATATCCAATCCTGAAGTAATATAATTGGCTTAAGTGATTTTCACTTGCTTTCAGTTTTACATATTTATCAGAGTTTGATTCTTCAGCCTAAGAAAGTGGAAGTGAATAATATTAATAACACCCCCTAATTAAATTCAATGTCCACAATTACAGGGCATTGTTGTTTCACATTTTTATGCACACTTAAGGGGTCTATTCACTAAGCTGCCGTAGGCAGCCAAGTGAATGACCGACCTGAAGTGAAGTGAGCCGAACACTGTTCGGCTATTCACTTCAGGCTGGTACGGCTGATTTCAGCCGTACATCGGCTGAAATCAGCCGTACATCGACTTGCTTCACATGGCGCATGTTCGGCCGACCCGAAGTGCAGAAGGAGTTCGACTCAGCCGATCCAACATCTGGATCGGCTGAGCCAAACATCCGGCAGGCTACTCACTGCTGTTCGGCCTATTCTAGCATTGTACCCGCCGTCTGCTGATGGACCTGATGGAGAACTGCAGCAGAGGTCGGGTACAATGCTAGTTTACTATTGGCTATTGCAAATTGAAATAGCCAATAGTAATGTAGCAATGTATTTCAATGGGAATTTTTTTTTTCTATTCTGACATTGCTCTGTGTCAGAATAAAGAAAAAAAGAAACAGCAGTGTTTCTCTCCTTGGCGGCCGGGAGCAGGAGACTCCCGGGGGTCCTGGGGCCGAAGCTAGCCGAAGGATCGGCCGAAGCTACGGCTAGATCCTTCGGCAGCTCCGTGAATAGACCCCTTAGAAGCTGGGAAATTCTGTATGACGTCAGACTTGAAGTGACCCTGAAGTGTTAAGCTCAAAGTAAGCAAAGCTAAATAGGAGAGCAAATATAAGTCTTTTATAAGTAAGCCATTAATGTCAGATATAATATCTTCAGAGTAAATATTATGTATGTATGTAATATAATGATACTAGCTTTTATATTTTGCATATGTGAGACTAGAGTACAGATATTCTTATTTTTTTGTGCATATAAAGAGTTGCAAAGCTTTTTCAGCATTCCAGACAATGTAGTAGGGCAGGTGTGGCACTGAATGGAAGTTTGCGCCCTGTGAGCTAGTATTTTTTATCTTCACGTTCTCTGCTACGTGACTGCAAGTAAAGATCCACCAAGAGTTTATACTGGGTAAAGGAACTTGGCAACTGCACAGACTGCACGACAGTTCAATATTTATGTGTTGGTATGTAGATTAAAAAGATCCATTTCAGTTACTTAGAGGTGAAAGAATGTACAGGTCATCAAGGAATTCACAGTGGTGGGTTCATTACTCCCTAGTGATAGAAACCAAGGTTTGGCAAACAGAGATAAGAACAAGCCCACCATGTGATGACAGCTTACATAGAGATTAACATATACCATAAGACCAGCACACGAGGCATGTATGTAAATAAATGAGAAGACAGCATTAAACACACATGTAGAAGAAGTTACTATGAGGTGAATTTGTTTAACCTTTTATCCAGAGGAGATCCAAAGAATAACAGTTTATAATGCCAGTGCTGTAATAATGGAAGACAAGCATTCATAATGCTGTTTTTGTACTGTAACTGAATATGATTTATGTTTGTAGGTATATGCACCCTTTGTAACTGTAATGGAGCTCAGGGGAGTAGGAAACAAGGGGCTAGAAGTGCCACTGCCCTTCAGTTCTATAGTCTTCATGAATCATAGCTCTTTTTCGATGGTGTTACAGGTTTGTAAATTACTGTATTCTTTCATTTACTGCAAGTACTTTAGTGACTATGGTTTTATCTTAATGGCCTATAACATGTAAGCTTAACTAGGGCAAATAGTCACACCAAATATAACCATTGGATTAAATTTGGTTGCAGATTTAATAGGAGTGGTTCTGAGCAACAAGAAATCCAATGAAAAAATAGCCAATGTTTAGTCTGCACTTAATGCTGAAGGCCAATTCATTGAACAATAAATCTAGGTAGCCTTTTTAGCGAGCTCCTTGGTGGACTTATGGTATTTTGTCACATGACTCTGTGGTACCCCTCTCCTTGAGAACTACAGAAGCTTGAAATACAAGGAAAATCACGGTCAGATTTTCATGGCTAATCATAAAAAAACAATACGAACAGAAGTAATGACATCCAGCTGCACAAAATAACTATGAAGACACGGCAGGTACGCTGTGACCGATGAGCGAGTTTAAATGTAACATTCTGGCATTTGACCAGAGTGTTTCTTTTATTTGTTCAAAGAATTTGAGGGTGTGAAGCAGCAGTATTGCTGTGGTATGCAGATATACAGATATGTAGCTATGCTGGATAATACCATTACTACTTCATTGCCACAATTAAACAGTAAGCAATTAATTATCACATTTGCAATTGTATTCCCTCTCTGAAGAAAATCACTCTATGTATCAAGACACACATCCCCCAGCTTATCAGTATCATATGGGTAACAGTTGGGTATAAAACATGTGGGGGAGAAAATGTTTGTACAATGACATTTGTCAGTTTGAATCGAGTGTCCAGATCCAGATACCTGATGCATAGGGTTAGACACCAGATCTGCTGGTTTATGGCAGAAGCTAATATCTGACACTTTGAAGGGAAAGAACAGCGTCTCTGCAACAACCATAACTCATGGGTGACAGTGTTGTGGTAACACAAATAGATAACATATGTGTTGGATACCTTTTTTCTAACAATGATAAGTATATGTTCGTATTGCTTTGCTTTCAGGATTCAACTCCATTCAAAGGTAGAAGCCTAGTAAGGGTGGTATCTAAAGTGGAAAGACACTGACACTCATACATGAATCTAACATTATTGATCCAGCACAATGGTTTCAATATGATATGGTCACCTTTACTGTTTTCCACCAACTGTGAGTTTGGGCTCCCTTGGACTACATTTTCCTATCTCTTTTTGGTTTAAGAAACTGACAGGACAGAAATACAGGTAATGCTGATTTATTTTCATTTTGTCAAGGCTCAAAGACTATGGCTGCCCCTTTTAGCTTTTCTTCACTACTCTCCCTTATTGAGAAAGGAGGGACAAGAATGACAGCCATGCTGCTTCAAAAACAAGTGGCCCTTCAGAACTCCCAGATTGCTGAAACATTCCTGCCCATTTAATTCACATAGCTCAGTTACAGATGATCACTGGTGGGTTAAATAACTTACTGAACTTACTGTAATGTTATCTCTTGGCAAGTTCTCCCAGATTTACTTATTGCTGCCATGTATTTAATTTTTTATGCAGCTGTGAGAAAAAGCAAGAGCCCAGTTCAAATAGCTGGGTTCGGTGGTTAGAATCAGGAGCTGAGGTGCAGAGATCTTATTTATGGAGTCACAAAGGAATAACAGAACCTGTCTGTGAGTCAACCTCTCCAGGATCCACGCAAAAATGAAATATCTGCTTGAGCTGATACTTCAAATGACAATCAAAAAGAATGTGTTGTAATTGGCATATTATAAACTATTAGTAAAGTGTTATAATGAAAGAGAATGAAAAGCAAAATACATTAACAGAACACAGTAACACACATTGCACCTACCTAGGCTGAGCCTGTCACGAGGAAATTCCCACTTGCTGCTGTCATAGGGCAGTCTTTCACATTGCTCATTTAGTGGCATTTCATCTGGATCCATTATGATGGACAGGTAGCCTGTTTTAATTTCAGATGCATGTGGCTGCAAACAAGTAAAAACACTGATACCTTGAGTCACTGGTCATGTACCAACAGAATTTACTACATAAACTGTTTGTGTTTCACAATTCAGTGCTGTGAAACATTGTCCCCTCTGGGCCACCAAACAACATCTGAAACAATGCAGTTGGCTCTCCCCCTGAATAAGATTAGGCAATATGTTACTCTGAACCAGGACAGGTTTTAAAGGTAGTCCCACAGCAACAAATACAGACAATCCCCAGGGAGTGGACTCATGACTACTAGGAGTGTTTTTTTAACATATTTAACATTAGATTTTGATTCAAATAGTGCCTACGGTAACAGGCGATTTTCTTGAACAAATGATACATTCGACTGCATTTACTACCACTTAAAATCCAAGAAATTGGAAAATTTGGTGTTTTACATTAGGTGCCAATAAACCTCAAATATCTACACTCTGGTTTTCTTGTTACTACTGATGTGTGTAGTGTCATCATGCAAGATCTGCAGAAAGCTATGGATACCCAACAGTCTGCCAAGAGATTTAAAAAGATTGCCAAATAAGTTAGAAACAATTATTCCACCATAAGGAAAATAATCTATAAGTGGAAAAGATTTCAAACATCTCCTAATTTGTCCAGGGCTTCCTGTATCAGCAAATCCAGAGCAAGAGCTGGCCATTTGGTGCCAAAAGAAGTCAACAAGAACCCCAACATTTTTATCATGGAGTGTTCAGGTAACTCTTGCAACAGTTGGGGCCAAAGTGCATGCAACTACACCCAAAAATAACACCTTTATCAGTAGGCACTGTTTGAATAAAGATCTAATGTTTGCCTGTTTAAATATGTTCAAAAAGTGAAAGGGTATACCCTTTTTTTTATAATTGCCAATTATTTTTATACTTGCCAAAGGATTTGTAATTCTATGTAGCCCGCCAAACTTTTCTATTTTATGCACAGCCAGCAAGATGAAACGCGTAGTTCCTAATTAAGGAATTCAACTCTTTATGGTACATCTCTATTTTGAGCCTCTACTTTAGACAGTGAATCAGCATTATCACCTATGTCCTATGAGCAGGGAGCTGACACATGAAGTAGTAATGTTAATCCAGAAAACAGCAGAGCGACCGTACTGGAGTGTACATCACAAGAATGGCCTGGCCAAAATTACAAATCCTTTGGCTGGCAAAAAAGTAAACATATACTGTATGTGTGTCACCACTGTGTTTAGCCATTTGCCATGAGTGTTACTTTAACGTAATTACCTTTTACTAGCTAGATGCATATTACAAAAGCTGATGATGCAGACTATCCTCAAGACTGATCACACTTCTAAATAATGGCTTTATTCATTTTACCAGAGCAGCATTCCACCAATTGGCATCGGCAGGGAAATCTGCTGCCAAAGCTCTGACAATTTTAAACAACCACATGAAGAATTGATTTTACATGGTGTAACTTGATTATTGTAATCGTGGTGGAGATAAGAACACAGAATTTAATTTAGAACACAGTTAATCATAATTCTCTTGAACCAGGGTAAAACAAGAACAAATTCATAAACAATGCAGTTGTTTATTAGGCGCAGCCAGGCCTGTATTTGCCTTTCACTGGCAGAAATGTGACTATTACTTTGGGTTTTATTCAATTACACAAATGTGTGCCTTACATCACTTTCACTGGTTCCTTTTCTTGGCATTTATTTTAGAACATTTTGTGTCCATATTACCATTTGTGTGTTTTTAAACACAGCTAATATATCACATGAGTTTGTGCTTCATTAGCCTCCCTGCAGAAACATCTGGCCCTCCAGCCCCAGGCTATTGGTGGTCAATGAGAAGAGAAAAGGTGGAGATGCTGCAGAAGGAGGAAAAGGAGTGGAACTAGGAATGCCAAGCAGCACACCGACATGGTGACATGGCAAAGAGGCAGTGAACTATTAACTATAAGGGCCATGGATCTGTAGCAGCACAGCTACTGCAAAATCTCTTGGGGGTGAAGATGTCACCTGATCACTGAAGTGCAGCTGCTAACATTGATCGATGACCAAGAGATTTTGCAGCAGCAACATTCAGGTCACTCAAATCCTGTATTTTTCTGCCATACTTTTTTTTTTGGTGCAAGATAAAGGAGTGCTAGGGATGCTGATGGTAGCTGCATGCATCCACAGAATCATGGGATGTGGTTTTTACATCAACTTGCGGTCAATGTTTTGTACAATGCTTTTTATTTTCTTTCATTGATTTCTTAAATGTTATTTTTATTATTAGAAAAATCCATAAAATTACTTGTATTTCACCACAAAATTATACTTTGTTCTGTATTCTTCAAAAGAAGGTGTCCACTACCTGGAGCTTTTCTCTGACAAAGCACCTGCATACCTGTGCCACCACCTATTTGTAGAATCTGCACTTTTGTTGAAGTCATTGACAGAATTCTCATACCTAGAAGTAGTTTAATGTGAAGATTCTGCAAATGCAAAGCTCCTGTACAACACAATGTATGAACTTTTAATTTGATAATATTCAGTCCTATCAGACATGCCTAGACTCTATCAGGCATGCCTACAATAATCTCTATCTTTAAGGCAATTTCTTTACTGATACAAAATACTAACTGCTTTTATAGCTAGTGAATAGCGGTCCCCAAACTTTATATACATTCATCCAAATGATCTCAACTACTACGTCAACCTGCAAATTTACTGTGTAGACAGACAGCTCTGGGCCCCATAGCAGTCTCACAGTCTGGTATGGCTATAATTACACCTGTAATTATTATATATATTTGTATAATGTGTATTGTCATATAAAGTACTCACATACCTTTTTCAGCTTCCGTATGAAAAGAGTCAGAAGGAGCCAGAACAAGGTTGCTGCCACTCCTGTGCATACAAGGATGATGACTTCTATGTTGGACTTCTCCTCTCCACCTGTATACAGTACATACAAATCTGTTACTGGGGCAGGAAGTTAGAGAAAAGTTAGAGAAACGTTCTCCAACAAGGACATAGAAATTACCTGCATTATTATTGTTTCAACCTGTATCCAAAGGTGGATCTGGGGACAGTCACGAACACATCATTTGGAACTCTAGTCTGACTTTGATTTTTAGTTTTTTATATAGCTGGGACAATTCCAAACCCCCTGCTAGGTTTTCCTTGCTGTTTCTTTTCACTGGTCAGATTACCTTAACTTAGTGCAAAGTTAATGGGATGGGAAAGTAAAGTTAAATCTCCCAAATGGGGCACAATATGCAATAATAATCCCATAGAGGTCTAACCCTTACCCATTTTATCCATTGAGATTATAGTGCACAGCAAATGGAGGAAGCATAATCTATGTGTGCAATTAGAAAAGATGGCTGCCCCCATGTAAATCTAATATATACAGTCATATCACATTCAATATTATATCAAAGGATAAGGTTTGCATTACAGACTATATGAAACATATTAGAAATAAGAAACGGGAATATGCAAGAAAACAAGAATACAAGAAATAAAAATAAATGTTCACCTCGAACAGTAACATAAGCAGAATTGTTGGCATGACCCATTTCATTAACAGCTCGGCATGTATACATTCCCTCATCATCCTTCTTTACCCTCTCAATGATCAGGTTATCATTATAAAGCAAAGTAATTCCTATGAAAAAAAACAATGTGGACAAATACACATTAATGTATTTCATAGATGAGCTGTACATAGAAAGATAGGTATTTTATCTTTTAACTAATGCCTAAGCATAACAATCTTGTCTAGGAACATGAGGCCATGCAAATTCTGCTTTATATGACAGCAATGTATACACACTTAACTCTAAAAAATCTGTGTTTAAATGTTTTGTGTAAAAATAATTTTGTGTTTTTTTTATGTATTTAAATCCCAACATTTGGCACATTTTTAGAAAAGTCCCTTAGTCTGTGATACAAATGCCTAGAAGCTAGTGACAGAGTAGACGGCAGGTATTGCACCTCCTACCTGAGGCAGGTTGAATCTCATATCCATTCTTTAACCAGGTTATTGTGGGCAGGGGATTTCCATCAACTCTACACTCCAGGATCAATGTGCTGCTGCTGTTTACTGTTACATTTTGAAGGTGCTGTACTACCCACGGAGCCTGCTTTTCTGTAATAAAACAATCAACATATAAAAAAAATAGAAATAAAAAAATTGGGCTCTATGTAAATTATCTATACATTTGAGACCACATGCAAAGTATGGGTAGAGAAGATATGGGTAAACAACGCGATTTAACAGCCTTTTTAACGTGGGATGATTGTTGGCGCTGGGAGCCATGGAGCGAGTATCAGCAAAACAGCAGAATTGGTTAAATGTTCAAGAGCGGCTGTTGTTAAAGTGTTTATAGACTGGACTGTCAGCCGAAAATTGTGGCCGTCAGCGACTAGTCAATGTTAGGGCAGAACGGAGAGTGGCAAGACTGGTACAAGACAACAGAAGGGCAACAGTGCAGTGTCAGATTCCTCGCATCACCTTTCAACATCTCGTGGAGTTACGAGGCGGCCCAACCAAGTCTTCTAGTGTAGTCGTCCAACGAAGTACTGATGGGGTGGTCATAATAATCTGGCCACTCAGTGTATATTAAATAGTAGCATTTCTTTGGCCTTCGGCTTTCAGCACGGCTCAGCCGAGCCGATGCATATGCGTTCGGCTCGGCAGAGCCGCTCGGCCATGATCGGGAGCTGTACGGGCTATTGTCTACTGAACCGAAGGGGTCCTGGGGCCGAAGCTAGCCGAAGGATTGGCCGAAGCTACGGCCAGATCCTTCGGCAGCTTCGTGAATAGACCCCTTAGTTAAACAGTGTAAAAACACATGTACATGGGCTTCTGTTTCCATTAGAACTGCTTTATTTCTCACATTAGTCAATACCAATGCAAACACAGGATAAAATGGCTCTGTTACTTTGCTCCAGTCCACTTTAAGTCATGGTTGTCACAGTTCCCCTAAAGCTCTGTTACTCCATCAGAGATGGTAATAAACCTTGTGTAAACTCTTTGTGAGATGATTTCGGAAGTTACACAAGGTCACTGGAAAGTCACACGCCTCCCTTCATCTAGAAGAACCGGGTATTTTGTCAGGATTCCTAAGGAGCAGATGGGTGGGTTAGAGGGTGGGCTAGCAAAAGACTCTGTCACTTTGCCATAAAAGTAGATTAGAAGGAGGTCAAATGCAGGTTTAGGGCACCTGTATATAAAGTCAGAATCCCACATGATAGATGAATGCATCCATCTACATAAGCTTTTAATTGAATACAAAATATATGTATAAGATTGATTAGTTTGCCCTATGTGGTCAGCCTAATTTCTTAGGTGTGCTTTTCTTACCTCTGTTTGACACATTGTATACAGAAGTAAAATCGGATTTCTATACCTATTTATACTTTAAATATTAACCCACCTTGGACTATGAGTTGAGCTGTGCGATGCAACACCTCCTTGCTGTATCGATTCTCAGCCGAACAGTTATATAATCCAGCCTGTTCCTTTGTCACATTTTTAATAGTAAATGAGACTATGGTGGTGTGTTCTCTGTGACGGGTTTTGGTGCTGGTGGAAGGCACTGCTTCTTCGGAAGGATACAACCATACGAGGTTTGTAAAAAGATATTTCTCTGCTTTGCAAATAAGTGTAACATCGCTCCCTTCTAGAACAGTGTCCTCTTCTTCTGTCATCACTCCTGTCTTCACCTCTGTAAGAGAATAATACACAAATAGAGCCACTAATTAGTAGATTATCTGTACAAATAATATTCTGTAGGATTTCTTATAGGCATATGTATATGCTTTTGAGCAGCATCCATTTCAAGTTAAAATAGGTAAGCAACTGGCAATGCATCTCACTTTTGCTTGATATAGAAGTAGGACAGATTAACGTGTTGCTAACTGAACAAGGGTTCATCTCAGCACGTGTTAAAATTGGATTTTATCTCACAAGATGGGAAGTTCAAATGGTGCACAAAATGCATTGAGGAAGTATTGTTTTTGCCTTATGACATAGCAAGCAATATTTAAAAAAAAGTTGTGGTAGTACATTAATGACAACGTTCTGAATCTATGCTCCATTTGCGTTAACTGTGTTTTTCACCTTAAACCTTGAAGCCAAGAATCAGGCAATTGCTCAGGACAAATATAATCCAGAACAGAAATCAACAATAAAGCCAAAAGATTAGACATGTACTAAGGTACACAACCTTATAATGGGTATCACAGTGATATCTAGCCCAGCATTTCTCAACCTTTTTTCAGCCATGGCACCCTTTAAGTAAACAAAATCTTGAGGTGCCCCAGTCTAAAATGTAAAAACTGTAAGTGTAAAAAATGATGTGTGGTCCCTCCAAAATCGGTACCAGATAAGGGTCTGGTATAAATTTTAAAGGGGGGAAACCATGCAATAACATAATCAGAGTGCTACCTTTCACGTAAGAGCCCCCCTTTACATCAGGAGCCCCCTTCTTTCACATCTAGGAAACCCTCTTCAAATCAGAAGCCCGCCTTCACACCAGACTCCCCCTATTTCACATTAGAGGCAGGACGCTGTGTGACAATTTCAAGGCACTCAGAGGAAACCAGAATGCACCCTTGGGTGCCATAGCACCCTGGTTGAGAAAGGCTGGTTTAGCCCATTCTCATATTGTCATAAACTAACAGATCTTTTAACCCTTGGGTTTGTAAATGGTTCTAAAATGAGTATTGGCGGCCTTGGCATGAAATCTGGCTATTTTTGCATTAGAAAAAATAATTGGTGAGTACATGAGAATGTGTGTGGGTTTCTGTGGGCTTTTCACCCTCCACTAATTGTAGATGAATACAACAGGAAAATGGCCCCAGCACTAAATGTACAACAAAAGCAATACTGAAATCTACTATATACTGAAAAAACTTAAAAGAGAACTATGTGGTAAGTGTTTTTACCCATAGTTCTCTTTAGGGTCACGTGAGGACATATACTAACCTCCTTCCGTGACCCAAAGCTCAGCAATAACCTGCAATATACTGAGAGTGCCGCAGCCGGGACATAGCCCGACAATACTGTGGAGATCCACCCATCTCCGTGAGTGACAGCTGGCTCTGCCTATCTATAGGCAGAGCCAGCTGCGCCTGCCCCCTTCCTGTACTTTCCACCATTCAGCGCTGGAGGATCGGAGAGGAAAGGGGGGAATCCATGCGGGGGGGGGATTGGGCGGTGACTGACGGTCACCGTTCACTGCAGGGAGATGATCGGGTAGTGAGCGGATCGGTGCATGTTTCTGCTCACTTCACGATCAATAGAGCCGACTCGTGACAGATTCTTTGTCACAGGTCGGCTCTAACTATGAGTATGAGTGGGAATCACTCACCTCATAGTTCTCCTTTAATTTGCAGTTGAAATACATGATTGTTTAGAGGTTTGTGTCTGCCATAGACTTTGTAATTCTGTATATTCACTCTTGTGTGTCACATACCTATGTCACAATGCACAGCCATGCAGATCAATCTACTACTTTCTGGTTACTTTAGTGCTTCTTGGATGACCTCTGTGCTATTTAGACACAGGCAATGATTGTTCAGTAAGTAGGCTGGATGTATATAACACTTCACATATGTATTTTAACTGAGAATGTTGCTGTCTGCCTTAAATACAGTTTTAAAAAATAACTCAATAAAAAACCCATTAAAAATAAGTTAATACAAACTGTTTTTGTTGTAATATTCACCTTCACTCCAGAGATTTTCGCTACAATACTTTTTTTCTGCTACTGGATGCAGTGACCCACAAAGGAACAACTTCCTCCTGATAACCCTGTAAGTTTGTTGGGCCCCTCAGTATTCGGGAGGACCTTAACACAACCGTGATCTACTCGTCAGGCGAGCCTACTACACCAGCGATACATGTCATTTTGCTTAAATCTTGAGCTATGCCGCTTCCAATACATTCTGTACTCCCTTGCACTGCGTACTGTAAGCTGTAATCAAATGTACCCACTGTCTTTGCAAAAATTTCCTGTTACGTTAAAATCAATAAACATCTTTGATTTAAAATATACATTTAATGATGTAACAATAATTACAGAACTGCGTTAATTTGTGACCTTTATATCTACCTTAAGCTAGGCTTTAAACATTATAATTTTGTAGCCACATCTTTTAAAGATATTACATGGATTTTGAAGGTATGCAAGACATAGGGCCTTGGTAAAACACCCAGACACATTTACAATTACAATTTACAATTTACAACTACTGATTATTATTATTCTTCTATATATAAACACTTTTCACACAGCATAAACAAATCTTTACACACAGGTTTCCAAAACTACTTCAGTTTGATGTATGTTAGATTTTCCTGAATCTGTGATGCGTGCAAATCACATACCGACCTTTGTACATGTAAGCCATATGGAGACAACTACGACCTAGCTACTGCAGCCTGGAACCTATTACTGTGATATGTCTATTCTTTATTGTTAGCCAGGAGGTAGGAATTTCACTGTCCTCTGAATGAAGCATCCAACAAAACTAAAATCACATTGGACAAGTGCTTTGCACTTTATGGAAATGTCCAGGGATGAGTCAATAAGATTAACATGTTTACAATTCCAAGAATTTGCCTGACCCTTTGCTTAATGCGATCCAGCAAGCACATATACAAGTATTCCCAAGACCTCAGTGAGATCATATCTGTCTTCAAAGCTAGTGATCTCCTGCTGCAGAACCTGTGTTTTTATCTCAAGCAATCTATAAAGTTAAACTGATTTCATTTATGCTCATTTAAGTGTCACCCTGAATAAAAGCTTCTATGTCTCTCCTTCAGTAATGACACCTCCTCAACTTGCCAGATGTTCTTTGGAATTTAAGGACAGCTATTCTGTTTACTTAATTTATCAAAAATGTTCCCACATTTCAATAGACATGCATCTTTTTTTATCCTTAAATAATCGGGGTTACACACAGGCCTTCTATCTATCACATCTCATTATAAGTAAATGCCTATACAGTCTGTATAGTTCTATATTATAAATAACAAAGAAGCAGGTAGCACCCTTAGATGACACAATGCAATAGATACTGTTGTCCTTGAAGCCTGCTGCTAGTTCCCCTACCAATGTTTAATTCTTAGCCGGAATCAAAATAACTTATTTACCTTAGGACTCATATGATAATTGAAAGTGATTTTAAAGGCAAATCTATTTCAATTGCTGCTTAAATCACTTACAATGGATGCTACTCTTTAATGCTTAAATGTTTTACAGGGTTGTTTGGAGAAGGCAGGAGAAGTAAACAATCTAGGACAACATAGCTGATTTGGAAGAATTCTCCAATTCAGCTCACTTTCCAGTTTAGTTATGCTGTCCTTGCTTGTTCACTTCTCCTGCCTTCTCCAAGCTCTTCACCCTTTTGTGAATAACCCTGTAAGTTTCCTGCAGAATCAGCTGGTCCCCTGAGCACTGGTCCTGATATCCTATTTTAGGGTGGCTGCTTTCCCTTGCAGGGTCCTGTGGAGCCACCCTTGTGTGTGCTAGTAAGCTGTGTTTGTCTCCACAAAAACACAGGCACAGCAATCCCCTCTTCTCCCTCCTACCTTCTCCAAGGAATAGACTTCAGTTTGATGTATCTTAGCCTAGCCTAGAGTCACTCAACCTGCAAGACTAAAAAGAAAACGTGAGTGCAGGGTGCTATGACTCTGCCCTTAAACACGGCACCCTGCACTCATTGATACAGGGAGCGACGGTGGTGTCATCAGATCAGCTATGTGCTTTTTCCTCCAGGACCGCCCACACCTGGGAGAATACCAAAGAGAAAGAACCCAGAGCATCAGAAGCCCTGCCAGAATACTTCAGAAAAAGCATAAAATACAGATGGGGAGGAGAGTTATGGGGGGAGAGGCCCCTGCTGGGGGAGACCAAATTTCAGCTTAAAATGCAGTAGGAGGGCATGTTAAGATTCTGTAAAAATATACATAAACATATTTATATTACCGTTTGCGACAGTTTTAGAAAGTCAGTAAACACTGCAATCAGTATCTTATTACAAAATGACTTGTGTAACAAAAGATTATATCAATTTATCAATTTGTGGTTGAACAGGTATGCAATATCCCTGTGGATATTCTAGAGCAAAGGCAGATCCCTAGTTATCCAACAAACATAAGAGCATTAATTTGGATAATTTAACTCAGGTCTGTTTTAAAGAAAGTAAAAGATTGCTCACTGCAAGTCATAAAAGTGAAAAATAGCGGAGTTGCCATTCTGAAACAAGACAGAAGAACATAAATGTTTGGTTATTTGGAAACCAAAGAAAAAATACTTAAGGAATTATTCATTACAGCATTTAGGGTTGGGCTGTATATATTAGAAGAAGTATCTGAATCAGCAAAACTGTAGGCATGAAGTGCAATTCTATCCAAAATAAACCGAGCCTTCCATGAATTGTGTCTGAATAAACATAATTACCCTCATTGTGTTGTTTTTGTTCTTGTAATTATCCAAATTATTTTAATACCAGCAGCTCAAACACCAAAAAACCTTTAAAGTGGTTTTACACACCCAATTCAAAACTGGAACAACTGCGTAACTCCATAAACTAAATTGTATATCCTCAAGATACTCAGAATTTGAACTTTATTCATGCAATAGAGTTGATTTCCAAAAGGCAAATAGACTGTTCCCTTTGCAAGGGAATATGCACTTTAGCTTAGTGAATGAGGTAAAGCTCTGCTGACTTCCATCATCCAATCATGGGCAAGCAAAAGCACTGTTTTTTTTATTATATTTGCACATAATAGGGTATTCTTAGCAAAGTAAAATTTTCTCCACATTTACAAAGCTCAGGGAAAATTCCCCATGCATAGTGCAAATTCCTTTGAAAAATGAACAGCCTATTTGCCTCTAGTAAATCAACCCCAAATATTCTGGGCAGTCTTTTGACTGCATGTGAGACAGGAGTAGGTACTCGAGTACTGACCCAATCAGCTTCTCTCTTTCATTTTCAAATATTAACTTTACAGACTGAAGAGAGAAGCTGATTTGTTGTCATGGGCAACTGCTCCAGATTCTTCTGCTCCAGTTTGATAAATTCATCCTTGTGCATTTTTACCCAATGTGTACTCATACATTATATAGTTCCAGAAAGGCCTGTGACATTTGGTTAATGTACAAAAAACAATAAAAATGTATTATGTGACAAAAACTTCAGTATGTGACTACAAAAGATATTTTTTCAACATATCTACATAAAATATACTATCAACAGTAACCAATATATATATGTATTGTCCCTATCTATATTAAAGAGGGGAGCTAAAACTATGTGAAATGCAAACACTTTAATGTTCACAGAGTAAAAGTAAAGAGAAATAAAAACATTTAAAAATAAAATAAATCCCACTACTGTTAGCACAGGTCCTACGATTCTGTTACAAAATGTATTGCCAGGGATTTTATATATATAGTAAATGTAGCACAGCAAATACTATAATTATCTGTCAACACCAGTCTATGATTGTTCATAAATGGTAAGTCCATCCAGCAATCATTCTAAGCACATTAATCATCCGAAGTATTGCTACAAGGTTTATTTAAATGATGACTGTTCTATAGAGACAAGACCTCATATGACAGGTACACCCCCTTTCCCTAGAACGGAGTCTGCCGAAAGAAAGGTATGGACCCAAAACTCCAAATAATAGATCTCAGCACAGGCCTATTAAATCCCTTATATGCATTAAATAATAAACATCCATACAACAGTTTTAATGTAAGAAGACAGCTGAATGAGCAAAGCGATACCCTCACCAACATGCATATACTCTTTTATTGTCCAATGGGGGAATTATGTGACATGTCAAGGATTTGGCTTTGCTATCTGGCAGAATGACTAGATCACAAAATGGGCTACACAGAGTTACAAATCCTTTGGCAGATATAACAGTTCTCATCTATCTGTTTCAACCATTTATTTAGCTGCTTGCTTAGAGTTCTGCTTTGTTTAATTTTGACAGTGGAAATAGTGAAAAATTAACAGTTATTTTGAAGTGTTGTTTAATCACCAGTAATGTGCTGACATAGGAAAAAAAATACAGGGTCTCATTTCAGGTTAGAGAAACTAGTACAAGATATTCATGGATGAATGCTTTAAATGTTGTCTTTTGTTTTATTTTAAATAGTATTTTTTGCATCAATACTAATAATCAGCACAAAGTTACACACAGAAGTGGCTTCTCACTGAATGTACACTGTACTTGCAAATCATAATTCTGCAGGATTCCGTTTCGCCAACTAACAAGCTAATAAAAGAGACCAAATTTAAAGCTTGACTGCAGCCAAATGTTTTCGATTTAGTTTTGAACTGCATGGGGAAAGGATTAAAGTGTTGTACATGTCCTTGTAGGAACATGTCTCTTCTCTTTCTGTCCTGGTAACACAATGTGATATGCTGACACACAGGATGTCACCGGGACAAGAAATTAACAAATATCTCTTCAACAAGACCACAGTCAACACTAAAAACAGGACTGAGGTTCTAAACCTTCAAGCTTCACCCTTTTTTTTCTGATCACAAACCGATGAGCTGCTCTCTTCTTCTTGTTTTTGTATAAGTAGTAAATGGTAGTTGGGGAAAAGCTAGCAATATAACAATACCTGAAAGGATGTAGTGCATGCTTCTTTCATCCATTCCAACCTTATTGTTAGCCACACAGAAAAAGATACCAGACTCATTGTTGTTAGAAGAAGTTGTCAGGGTGCTTACAACCTGCGAAATAGAAAGTACTTTTTGATTAGCCAAACTGACGGAGAAAATATTAAAGGAGATTATCCAGTACACCTGTTAAATTATCAGTCTACCAAAAAGTGATATTTTAGTTACAGATGGAGTCTGCTGGGCCAAGCCAGCCCTTGGCTATTTATATCTTGGATATTCCAAAAGTAAGATATTCTTGTCATAATTCCAAACTCTGTACCTATACAACTAGGAGTTTTAGGTGTTCCCACCCACCTTAACAGCACCTTCTTTTGTATTTTCTATAATATATGAAAAGATCTAACAGGGGGTTCATGGACCCCTTTTCAAATGGCCAAAGCTTGTGTGCAGACCCAGAGGAGCAATAACAGAGATATCTCCAACAAAGTTTATTTTTTTTAAAACTAAAATTTTTACCTTATTAAACACTGGTAAACCCAAATTGGTTTGTATTGATGCCTTGATCCCCCTCTTTCCTTAGCTATTTTTTGTTCATAGGTCAAATGTTTGTTTGTATTTGTAGTGTCACGTTAAATTGATTCTTTGTACCAGAAACATAGTTCTAGTGCATTTATAAAAAGGAAAATTGCAGAATACAATGTTTAGTTTTGATGGTTTAAAGTACTTTACTTCCCAGATGGAAGAAAAAAATAATAGCTATGATAATGTTAATGCAATCCTGGCTCCGGTTAAACATTTCGCTAATCACTCATTTAAGAACAGTGCCCAGTTTGCCTTCTTGTCCTTGGTGACAGGGGACCTTGTCCCTGAATTGACCAAGCTTAGTAAGATGTGGTTTTATCAGAGGAGAGTTGAAGTTGTTACACTACATATTTATTTTTATCAGTATTATAAATATTACTATAAACCTTTTCAGATCAGTTATTGACCACAGGGGATTTTGAGAAGTATGGCACATATTTATTTTTAGTATATTAATCAGTATATTTACTTTTTTGCTCCAATATATAGGTTATAGAGGTCGGGGAGCAGAGGGAATTAAAGTAAAGTAAAAGCTTCATAGTAGTGGCATTTTGATTATGAACTACAAGAAAATAAGCACAGTAAAAAAAAAAAAAATGTAAAGGCCAGATAAAACCTTTCATGTTATTGAGCCAAATAAACAGACTTAACTCATTTGAAATATGTGCAATTAATGGAAAGAAAATCAGGTTGAGTCTATAGAGTACAATGTGCCTTTATATTTCATATAGGAGCAGTACACTATAAGAATGTATTGTTTTTGTAATATGAGCAATAGGCAATAGATGGATATGTTTCCATACAGATACATAAGGCAGCACTCAACTGTCTCAATACGGTCCACGGCCCCATTGTTTTGACCGTTGTCTAGAATTGCTATTTCAGTTGAGAATTAGACGAGACTTTCTCTTGCAACTGTGTCTAGGCAATTTCTAGGTAGGTTTTCCATACTGACAATTAAGCAAGTTAATGTGCAACTTCATCAATCTTCTTTATTTCATTCCTCTGTTCATAATAAATACTAACCCACTGTGGCATGTAAGGAGAGATAAGGAATGCCAGAAATAGTTTCAGTAACAGTGGTCAGATATTTGAAAATGCAATCATCACTGTGGGAGTTATCAAAAATACATCTCTGCCTGATCTCAAAGTATTTAATTCTTAGTACTGTATGACCCATAATGATATAACATGTGTGTATGGACAGAAAAGGGAAAACTCACATCCATTCTAAAGGCATAATTGTGCTGTATAGGTAGTTGTGCAGCAACTGTGTTATTCTAATGTTGATGTTACACTCTTTACGGTGCAATGTGCTTGCAGCAAGTATTTAGGGTGGCTGAGACTCTCCCAGTGGGCCTGCATACAGTGTCCATGGGAAGGGGTTAGGGAACTTAAAACATAGGCTGAATTTGTCTGCAATTTTTGGGCTCTGGCAGCCATATTGAGGAAGTTACCCATCAACTGGGAGACATGGTTAGAGAAGGCAGAGTGACAAAAACTGAAGTGTTCAAGAAGAGTAAATATCAAACATACTGCTCCAGAAAGATCTCAGCTCTCATGCCCATTACTTATACTGGGTGCTGGTCTGGTTCATCTTTCCAGCAGATAAGTACCATGAATATGAAGGCATCAACCCCCAACTGGGCTGTGGAAAACTTTTTTCTTAGTTTATTAAACTATGAAAAAAGTTTTCTGCTCTCCAGTTGTGCAATACTTCCTTCATATTCTTGATGTTCAAGAAGTCCATTTAGGGACAGACACCCCATTGAGTAGCATTTGCATTTAAAGGTGGCTCCAACAGAGATGTGGTGGCGGTTCCTGTCATCACAGTTCTGGTGTTTCCCTAAATATTTCTCTAAGAGCACTTCTGGAAGCAAGCTGCTACAGTTTGAACAGAATTTAGTAGGTGTGAGATTGGAATGGTCAACAGAAAAATAATTGTCCAGTCATGTGCTTTAATAATTATTGAAGGTGTTACTGTTATTGTTACAAAGAATAACGCTCTACAATTGGATTTTTTATTTCACAATGTCCAGTGTTTATTATACAGTATGCAAAAGACGGAATGGTAATTATTTTGCCTCAAAATTAGAAACAATTTAGAATTGGCCTACTAGTGGCAGCTGTTTAGGAGCTACAAATGTCCCTCATCTAGAAGTTGGATTTAACCCGATCTCATCTTTTTTTACTAAATGTGACTCAAGAATATAGTACATAGCAGAACATCTGTTACTTTTTTCAAAAAGTAGGTTATTATTTCATAATTACATGAACACTTGAGCACGTACAGGTTTCTGATCTAACTTTCAGGCTATAGTAAAACATGACAACAAATGGTGGTGTTGGATTTTCTGTGCTAGGATAACACTGCTGCCATCCAGATCTTGCTGGTTATTAGTGGATCTCACGATGAGCAACTGGGTGTGATTACAAGTCAGAGAAGATTAAGAAATCAAACCAATGCTTGATCACTCAATATAGCTTTATAAAGAAATTAAAAGCTTTACAATATGGGGAGAAAATGAGATGCATTTTAAAAAGGAGTTGAACCATTGTATCAACTAACCTAAATTATATGCAAATCGGTTTATTAGAATAGATGGATAACACAATTTGTAATTTATAGATACACATTCTACCCGTATTGCAGGCCATTTATCCCTGCTCACTCTGCCCTCTCTTTCTAGCAGCATATTTGAATGCAGCAGTGCCTGATTGGCTCCCAGTGCTGTTTGTCCTCTTCTTGTTGGAGTGCTGCTGCTCAGGAGCTTACAGTGGCGTATACCATGATAGATTCAAGTACTTAGTGTGGTTGGTAGTTGTATGTAAAAATACATACAACATCCAATAAAAGTTTATTTTAGTACACAACTGTATTCAGATAATGCAGAAAGGAAAAAATGGATGGTGGTAGCAGTGGATTTTTGCAGGCTTGTGTTCTCTACTACAGGGTTGTAAAGCTTATCCTAGCTACTAATCTGTTCAAGCTCATATTCTGTCACAATACTTGCTTTTAGACAAAGGTACTGTGCCCCCCCATTGAATTTTCTACAAGAGAGAATGGTGAATGCAGTATATACCACCTGAATACATACTCTGCTAGAATACCGAGCAAATGACCACAGGCAGGAGGTTTATGGAGAGATGTCACCAGCAGAGTCCCAAGTAGTAATGAGTTGCAAATTAAGCAATATAATAGCATCCACCTAGAGCTCCCATATCAGTTTTGGCAAATATTATTTACGTAAAATTTGCTTGCTAAAGCCATGCTCAGTTTCAGCCATGAAATGTAAAACTGGAATATGAACTAGCATATAGAAGCAGAGTATTACTGTTTATCAGGCTGGAATAATGATCCACAAACCAGTTCCTAGTGCTAATACACCATGCACCAGGACCTTTAACAGTGACTAATATAACAATAGAAACATTTAACTATTGTTTTAGATGTGTACTTACTTTGTTTTTGTCTTCAGAGGGCATGGTAACTACTTCAACAGATGGAGTGTATGTGTCCATTTTACTTTCTAAAAGGGGTATCCGTGTCATGCTCGGATCCACGTCACACCTTTAAATATAAAAATGATGAGATCATTATACACTTTAAATTACATGTTAAAGTGAGATTATAATCATATACTAATGTTTTTCTCTGTCTATTCACTTTTTGTATAATTTCAGTGTTCCCACCACCCTAAGGTTTAGCTTTTTCACTATACCCTCAAATAATAATAATAATGATAATAATTAGGGATGCACCAATACTGTTTTTTTTTTGTATCAGGTATTTGGTTTTGAGTACCAATATTTTTTTTCCGGTACTCACCAATACCGAAAGTCCCATTAAGGAACCTGGGTGGCGTGTGGTGAAAGGGGAGCATGGAGCCAGCTTCCAGGCCAATCAGGAAGCCAGCTCCATGCTCCCTGGTGACGAGGGAGCATGGAGACGGTCTACCGGTCAATCAGGAAGCCGGGCAGCGTGTAATGACTCGCCACCCAAATTCCTGATACCGGAAATTGCGGTATCGGGATAAGTATCATGAGCATTTGGGCGAGTACGAGTACTCGCCTAAATACTCGGTATCGGCATCCCTAAGAGTGAGAACATACTATTGCATGCTAAAACATATAGAGTAACAATACACAAGATATTATATATAACTTTGCACTATAGCGGAAAAGGGGTTAGCAACAAGGTTAAAGGGAATAATTAAGATATATTTTAAGTAGCTGTCTGTGTCTTAAAGTGGACCTTTACCCATATCTTTAAAATAACAACAAACACACCTTTAGAAAGGTTTAGTAATGACAATCTACATACACATACTTCTAGATAATTGTCCGCTTTGTATTCTTTGCATTCCTTATTTCTCTTTTCTTTCCCTGTCTTCTAACAGTGGCCATGTTTACTAAGGGCAGATTACTAGCTCTCCTAATACTTCCTGGATTACTGGCACATGTGACTAGGCATGTGACTAGGACATGTGACCATGCACATCATCTCAGGGGAAGAAAATGCTTTTCCCTGAGATCTCATGAGATTACAGATGAAATGTATTTATTTATTACAGGTATTTACATAGTGCCGACAATGTACACAGCACTTTACATAGTTACACATTCACATCAGTCCCTGCCCTCAAGGAGCTTACAATCTAAGGTCCCTATCTCACATGCATACATAGAGGGCCAACTTAGACAGGAGCCAATTAACCTAATTTCCCTGCAATTCTCTGCTGATGACAAGGCAATCCTAGTGTGCATTGCGTTGGCAAACTGAAGTCAATTTGCTCTTTTAAAGCAGGAAGTGAATGCTCTGCAAGTGTAAGTATTTCATAATCACAGCATTTTACACCTGGCATATCTATGTTATTATTAATCTTCATACATAGAGGCCCAGATAGCAAGCAATTGAGCTGGAAGTTTGAAAATGACTTGCTAAACTATTGCAGACTCGCCAAGCTTCACAATTTTGTTGCACAATTACAGCAAGTGTGCATTGCAAGTCTCCAGACCAGCGAGCTTGCAGAGCTCTTAATAAGACCTGCAGGACTCTTGCTGTAGACTTGCCAAGCAAATTTGCTACAAATTCAAAAAGTGTCAACTAGAACTTGTGCAGCAAGTGTTCTGCAAGTCTACAACTTGCCAGGAATATGTGCAGCAAGTTAACAAAATTACAATTTCCCCCTGCCACAAGTTTGTAGCAAGTTATCCTTGCTATCTGGGGGGATGCATTGGTAGAAATTGATTTCTTAGTGTAAAGGTCCGTTTTAATAAATATCAGAAGAGAAAGCAGTGTTTGATCAGTGATTAAGCATATCATTCTAATTCTATGCTTGTCTGATGTAGGGAATTTTAAGAATGAATTTGAGCGTTTGAAGGGATAGAGAATTCCAAATGACCTGTGAAAGTAAATATCAAAGACTAGGAGAGGCACATGAGAAGCATTGATCAGAATGGGGGTAAAAAAGGAGTGAAGAAGAGGGAAGGAATTTTGTTGAGATTTTTTTCCCACTTAGAACATTTTTAGCACAAAAATAAAGAAAGATTGCATGATTTCAACCATAATCTTATCTCTATGGCAGGACTACAGAAGTCCCATTGTTTAAGAAATGGAGCTACTTAGTAACAGCCACCAACTGGATTCCAGCAAGACCAGAAACTCTGAACCTAATTGCCGACTGTTATACCAAATATTTGTTAAATACAAACTCAGCAAATTATTGAAGAGCTTAATAAGGAGTTAATCTACCGCATAGCTGGAGACTTTTTAAATGAGAATCTGCCTTAATTTTAGGTCTCTATATTTATGCAACCTGCTTTGTTATTTGGACATATATGATGATAGATTTTGAGATACTGTTACCCATTATGATAAATCTGTAAGTATTAATCACTTTTTTAGGTTTTTCCCCTGTTCCATTTTCCTGAAATTTTCAGTGTCCAGATGCCCATAAAAACCTAGACTGTGGGCTTAAGTTACTACAGACAAATAGGCTGTTCACTTTGTAATTTGCACTTTGCAGGGTAGTTAAATGCTTAAGGTGCCCATACACCTTACGATTATCGGACAAAACTTTTCGTCCGATGATCGAATAGTCGTACGATTTTCGTACGGCAGCCCCATCCTGCCCCGATGATTGCAAGATTAATTTAGCCGTAATTAACGAAAAGCACTTGGGCGAAATGCGGTAATTGATTTGCCGTATTTTCGTTAGCGCAAGCGCAGTGTACTTCGTACGACTTTTGACGGACGGAAACGCCAGCAACCTTACGACAATCGTACGATCTAGCAAAGTTTTCAAACATGCTTGACCGTCAAAAGTCGTACGATTGTACAGTAATGTCGATGGGACACTGCAATGCACACATACGATTATCGGACGAAAAGTCGATCGCATACGAAAATCGTCCGATAATCGTAAGGTGTATGGGCACCTTTAGTTTAGTGAGTGTGTGAAATCTCACTTGTCAAAGAATACCCAATCATGTGCAAGGAAAATTAAAAAAAATTGCTTGCACATGATTGAATGATGAAAGTCAGCAAAGCTTCACCTTATTCACTAAACTAAAGGGGAAACTTACCCTGCAAATGCTCTTGCAAAATGAACAGCCTATTTGCGTTTAGTAAATAAACCCCTCAATGTGAAAAAGTGTTGTGTCATATACTGTACATACTAAACTATATTACATGTCTAGGACAATGTGCAGTGTGTGTGTATCTCCTTGTAATCAGTAATAAAGGGAAAGAAAACATAATTGTGTTGATTTAAGAAGTGTAACCACATCAAATTACACGCTAATAGATTGATTGTAACAACATATTACAGTCTGTATTTCATTTGATTGAATTTATAGACGTATGGAGCTGGGTAGGCCTAAATACTGTTAGAAAAACCACATAAATGACATGCCATTAATAAAGCTTAGCTGAGTGCCAGACCAGTTCAAGTGAACCTATGTTTTGCTTGTGAAAGACAAAGCAAAAGATCCACTTAGTTGTCCTAGGGTAGAATTTGTCCAATAGACTGTCCACTTTGACCTGCACAGACAAAGCATAGGTTTACTTTAAGAACAGCATCCAGCAACAAATAACCCTCTAATTAAAAAAATTAAATAAATTAGTGCTTTTTGTTGGATTACTAAAGTTTGTGTGTATTCTAAAAGAAGGCACTTCTAAAATATACAAAGTGATGACAGCATAGGACGACATCCCCGTACATGGACATGACCAAATTGAGAATGGTTGGTTTTAAAGTGGGTGGATTCTTTGTAGACCACCAGGAAAACCTTTTAGAATGTCTCCTTTTCCTAATACGTATAGTACGTATAGAACTAATTTTTTTTAATGATCTCAGTCTTTATTTAAGATTAACTGGCCATAAGCAGTATGAGTATCTTAATGGAGTAAGTACTGCAGAAAATGTAATTATTTCCACATGTAGCTATAAACAGCAACGTTCTCTTTGCTAATTTGAGTAATTGTTTACTAAAACAAAGCAAATAGCCCGCTTGCCATCTTCTGTTTGTACGTGAGCTATAAATGTCCAGCAGACAACTGACTCTTTTTCTTTCATTTAGACCTATCATGTCTTGTCCTTGATTGTGCTTTCCTGTGTATATAAGACAACAACTTCATATGGTTGAGACAAATTCTCATCAAGACTCTTTGATAATGTTAGTTGGACTCATTAGCATGTTGAGGCCTCAGAAAAAGACCAACGGCTTTTCTGACATTTGGGGTTTGTAAGTGCAAATCAGGGATTTGAGAGGAAGTGAAACAAATCAGAGTTTGGCAAGAAAAGAACAATAGGCACCATCTAAATCTCTTTGTTGATTTTAGTGAAGGTTGGAGAAGAAGAGAAAAGCAGGAAAGAGCAGGAAATTAAGCCATGCGTCATATCTCAAAAAAATAATTTAGGACTTCTGCAAGTAAGAGATAACCCTACAGTGACCAAGACCACAACCCACATATGTTGAGTACTCTGCTCATTGGCACATGGAATGTCTCGTAGCATGAAAAAAAACACAACACTACAACTCTTGGCAGATTAGGTCTTTAAATACTGTGTACGCCATAAGTTAAATGACTACTTAGTTTCTAGGCAGTAAGCATGACAAAGTTATTACCATGGGATAAAAACATAGGAGAAACCAACAACCTACATGGTTCTAAAAAAAACTAGTGCATTTATATTTCAGGGGATTTCTTTAGTAATTAAATGGAAATGTATGTATAGCCAAAACATTTTTTTTTTTAGTATTGAACAAAGTGGGAAAAGACAGGAGTTTAAACCCTTCTTTACTCTATCCAAAACAAAAATATTTAGCTATACATACACTTTACTTTTTGTAAATGATAACCAATGCAAAAAATAATGCCAGCAAATCATACCCTTATCATGTACTGAAACTTCATGTTCAGCTTATAAGGCATTAAACTTTAAGCCTCTATGTTTCTCTAATGAAAGGTTTTCTTCCAACACTCATATGTATGTGTAATAGATGAATAGGTAGGGCACTGCTTGAGACCCCTCTTATCAGTAACAAAGAGGTCACATTTTAAATAAGTGAACCAGTCAGGGTTGAGCATTTGTAAGAATTAAAGTCTATACTCTTAAAGTGACATCAAACTCAGGAGTTAAATCTTAAAATTGCACCTTAACTGAAAACATAAATATAGCTTATTTGTGTATGTAGATCCTCAAATCATCTCTGAATTGGTGCTGACACTGTCCTTCCTTCTGGAGGGTGGCTACATGGTCCCTGTGTGGGCTGTAAAGTAGCCAGCGCTTCAAGCTTGCTCTCGTGATGGACTACAATCTCATGTTCAGTTTACTAATTTGTATTGAGATTGCAGTCCATCACAGAAGTGAGCTCAAAAGCGAATAATCAGAGTACAGGCAGTCCCGAGTTACATACATCTGACTTACATACGACTCCTACTTACAAACGGAGGCTTTTACTGTACAGCAGGGGTAGTTGTAATGCTACCGTGCTCGTGCTGATGAGGAGTGCTTGCCTTTTTGGGTCTGGTTCGTAGTACTGTACGTACATTACAGGAAGTTGGCTCTTGTTAGACGTGCAGACCAGGGGTGCCCGCCTCTTCTTCCGGGTCACTGTGAGGTTTTTACTGCTGTCTATATCATCATTAGAAAGATTTGATCTCAATTCCTGTCCTTGAGACAATAGGAAGTGAAAAGAAATCTATCCCTATGAAGGGAAATTCACTCCTGTAAGAGTTATCATGGGAAAAAGGAGTCTCCACTGAAGCTTTATCACCAATCCTTGCTTCCACGACAACCCAACATTTTCTAAATCCAATTGTCATAGAAAGTGAGGTGAAATCTTCTGAACAGGGGCACATACAGCAAAACAAACATCACAGGGGGTTAACCTTTCCCTATGCTATCCAAAACAAAAACACTTTTTTTGGCTGGAGTTACACTTAAAAAATTACCTGTTCCCACTGACATACAAATTCAACTTAAGAACAAACCTACAGTCCCTATCTTGTTCGTAACCCAGGGACTGCCTGTATTACACATCTTTGGTTGGTTCTTTCAAAAGCTCAGAACCTGAGATGTAATACCTTGTATGAGAGCCCACATGCATCTTTATAGTTTTAACAAACCAATCTATAAATTCTAGATCATAATAAAAGGTAAGAAACACTATTTTTACTTTAAAAACAAAAGTCAGTTCAATGTAATTTGAGTCCCTCTGCTTTAATAGTAAAATTTTATTTGTTATCAGCTATAAGACAATAACTGAGCTATTTAATAAAGAATAAAAAGTACCCTGAAATAGCCAGATTCCAAACCCTTTGTTGGGATACACTTCAACACAATTGTTTTATGACAAAGACTAAACTGTCTCTTTCTTATAGGTTTCCTTATTGCAGGCTGCATAAAAAAAGGAAATAAGGAGAAATATTTTCTGTTAATTTTCCCCTGAATTATCATGTTTGCAATTTCCCAAGCATTTACCTAATGTATTGTGCACTATATTTGCCTTTTTTTCTTTACTCCACACTTTGTAAAGACCTGTTGTGAGCTATAACTTACTCTGTAGCTGCAGTATTGCATGGCTGCCACATCCAGGTAAATGTAGGAGGAGGTCTTCCGTAGGCTGTACACTGGAATCGATGATCTTCTCCAAGCAGCACAGACTCCATTCTGTCAAAGTCTGTCTCTTTTTCATAGATGGACGGTTTAACTAGAAGTCAAAGACAATTAATACTTAAAAATAAATAATTATATAAGTAACACACATAAACATATGCGTACTAGAGTAAGCATGGTAAATACAAAGGATCTAGTATGTAAATTAGACCTAAAAAAGTATTTACATGACCAAGAATAACATATTCCTCCTGCAATTTTAAAACACAGGTTGTGTAAAAAATAAGGAGAAAAGGAAAAAAAGCTTTAACTTAAACAATCCCTGTAAAAGAAGACAGGACAAACTCACCTTTTCTGCTATTTGCAGTGCCGAACTCCATTGCTGAGGAATCTTCAGCTGGAGTCCACAGGAAAACTGACACTTGAGGGCTAGTTCACGCCAGGTGCGGAGCAGATGCAGAGCAGGGCAGTTACAGAACGGATCAAAACTGCGTCCAATGTATTCCAATGGTATTTTGGACTCTAGTTCACTCCAGAGCGTTCAGTTCCAGAGCATATTGAAAAACTGCAGCAGGCCCTATTTTTTCTGCTCTGGAACGCACCAAAACACATGCAAATGCATAAAAAAAACACATGCAAATGCCCTAGAACGCACTGATAGCCATTTTAGGCTAAAACTAAACTGTTTTTTTTTTAAATATCCCGGAACGCGGCAAAACACACTACACTGCATGTGCAGAAACTTATGCAGATCTGGTCTGCATTTGGTGTGAACAAGTGCTCAGGGAGTCCCCCGGAGCTCTCAGGGAGTCCCCCGGAGCTCTCAGGGAGTCCCCCGGAGCTCTCAGTGGTTCCTCCCTCTAACCTCCACCCATTACAGGATACAGTAGTTACACAGAGGTCAGCAGGATGAACCAGTGAGAGCTGTGGTGGACCCAGGTGACTGACACTATTTGAAGTGTCAGTTTCACTGCAGATTTTAGCAGAGGACCTCTCAGGATTGAATATGGTATGGCTGGCTTTAAGACGCTTTGTATAAAAACAGGGTCACTTTAACTTTGCAACATCCTAACACTATAAAAAGCCTTTTATTGTGATTGTGCCACACTCACCATGTAAACTAATGAACACTGACAAACAAGATAACCAAATGCATATTACATTTTGCTTTTTTTTGCATCAAACAGTAAATCTAAGCTACAGGCAAATACCTAAGTACACTGTTAAAATAATACCTAAGAAAACTGTTAACATTAAATGGCAATGTCAGCATATAATATTTTATTTTGAACACTGCAAGCAAGTCACTTTGTAATAGGTGATGAAAGGATGGATTTGCAAATCAGGTTATAGATTGGTTCAGTTTGCACAGAAATATACTGTACATCAGGGGCGGACTGGGCCGGGGGGCAGGGTGGCAATTGCCCCCCGGGCCTCTCTGTTGCCTCTAAAAACGGCCCCGGTCGGGCCGGCGCTAACACGCTACTTCAGCGGCCGAGGACAACAGCATGTTCGGCTGCCTTCCCGAATGCCCGTGTCACTGATCGGGCTCCTCGGCGGCCACGGCAGCTCCCTCCGCCCACTTCTGCTGCTATTGGCTGGGAGGGAGACTGCCCTTGCCAGTCAGCCCCTGCAGTCCATGCCTGGATTCCAAAACTGCATGATACTTCACTGATTAGACAGATCAGTATGCAATTATTCAAATGAATATAACATGATATAACAATAATAAATAATGATGTAATAATAATAATAATGAATATAAAATGAAATAACAAAATGTCAATTCTCCTCATTGATATTTACTATTTGTGACATATTTCACAGAACATGAATTACACAATAAGGACCTGTTTGTCATTGCCTTGAGTCTACCCCTCAGCAAGAAACTTTCTAGCACAATACAAGTGGATAATAAACTACAATACAGATAATGTGCCACTACCTAACTCCTTTTTTGCTGGACTTTTACAGAACACTATTATGCTTGTGATACCCACGCAGAGTACACTCCCTCCCTCAAGACCTTCTATGTAGCTCCATTCCTGTCATCAGCTTACTAAGCAGACTTTCTGGCTATAAGCCAGCAGATTGGCACAATTGAGATAATTAAACATGATGGCTTTTGAAAGAATAGTGGTTTAAAAGGTGTTTTTATATCCTCGCCTTATGTTGTTCCTTAAGGAGTATGATTCCTGTCTAGGATACTACATTGTTTAAAAAGTATTTGTTTTTCCACCCACATATAATTATTAAGAACCATATCATAAGTACACCTTTATGTCCTGTTGTAATCTTGGTAATTTTCCTTTTTGAACTAGACTTCCAGGATATGTGGATTTCTGTCCCTTCAACCAAGGTAGTGGTCTTAGGTTGGCCTTGTCAATTGTTTGAGGAATAGAAGAATACACCCACCGCAATGGGGGAAATCCTGTAATAATATATCATAATCAAGGCTAACTCCATAAATGGGGATGTCAGAAGGAAGCAGGAGCTTTGGGAATAATGTTTTGGCAACACAGTCAGGAATAAGCAGCAGTTGCGGCAGGACATCAAGCCAGCTGATGATTATCGTGAGGAAAAGGCTTCCGATTAACAAGCTACTTGAAGCAATTAAGAAAACAACATAATTCAATGAAGAACTTTGTCCAGGAAGTGTAACTTTTCACTCATTGTCTTGGCTGCAGAGGCTCTAACGTATTAGGGAAATTCTGATGCTGTCCAGATAGTAAATTAAATGTTTTATTTCAGAATGTTCCTATACCTATCTGAGTAGTTTGAAACTTGATGCTGTTTAGGATCTGCATATGTTTATTCAGAAAATTTAGGAAAGACAGTTTTAGCTTTGTTCAAAAATAACTGCAGTTCTAAAACTGAAGAAGTTCTACCAAGTCCTGATTTAAATTTGTAGCTATACAAGTCACCTATTTTATAATCTATCGACATAGTTATTGGAATGTTTCCTGCTGAACCAGCAACCTTCAATAAGATGAACGGATGGAACTAATAACAGTTATGACTGTGCAATGCACTGATGTCTGAAAGCACATGTTACTGGGCAAACATAAGAATGTATTGCATCTGATTGGACTGTGGTGGAAATCTGTCAAAGATGTGCAGGTGCACTTGTAGGAAACCAGCCACAAATAGACATTCATAAAAATCTAAAACTTTTCTTATGAAAAGTTATAACAGTACAGCCTTACTTAGGGATTACTTCGTTTTCAGTTATTTGTCTATATTCTCCCCTTTTAGAGCAAAAGTGTCTATATGTCTGACTATTGTGAATAGCCTGTACAGCACCCCCTCGGTTCTCCTGAACCGGAGGGGTCCTGGGGCCGAAGCCAGCCGAAGGATCGGCCGAAGCTACGGCCAGATCCTTCGGCAGCTTTGTGAATAGACCCCATAGTGTGCAAGAAAACAGGTTCTGCTGTGCTCTCTATTTAGAAAACCCAATGCACTATGAACACGGTGTCACCGAGCATCTGGTATTCAATACATAAAAAATATATATATATATTCACTATATTGCCAAAAGTATTGAGAGGCCTGCCTTTACACGCACATGCTGATGCCTTAAGAGTTTCCTTCACTGGTACTATGGGGCCAAGCCCAACCCCTGAAAAACAGCCCCACACCATAATCCCTCCTCCACCTTATATAATATAAAAAAACATGTTTTTTGTGTGTGACAATACCATACCAGTATACTCATCTGTAACTAAAACATATACTCCAGACAAATACTGTTTTTAGTTATCTGAGACTTGTATAGCAATGGTATGTTTTCTGTCATCGCAAAAAGAAATGCCTTGGAACAGTTATAGTAGAATATGTAGCCGAAATAGCAGAAAATGTTTCTGGCCTGGACACCAGAGACCTGGGGCTGTAAAATTCACAGGCAGTTTCTCATGTAAATGACTAAGAATGAAAAGTGTGCCCCTTCCCAGACCCTGGACTGACCCTGCACTGTAACAAGAACCAAATCTGGGATTGCATGCTAGGTGGAATGAAACACTTGGTTTTGACCCCAGCATATTTGGAGTTTGTTCCAAATAGTTTGAATCTATAAATGGCAGGAAAGTGAGAAATCTGGCCCAGATTGCCGTTCCATTCTACAGACAGAAGATGGTATTGCAGTGGAATGCATTAATAAACATGTCTTGTTTGTATTACATCAGCTTCCATTCCACTCTCATGCCTGTATTGCCCTTTAACCCTTCCAAAGCTGCAGCGGCTTGTCATTTATTATGTATGTGCATACGACAAATAGTTTTACATTAATGAGAAAGCAATACCAAAAAAGACCATGAAGTGCAACTTGTCTACATTTATGGTTAGAAAACAAAATGATGCAAGTCTACTACTGAATTCCTGAAGCTATGAATTTTTTTATTTGATCTGATCAATTACACTGTTTATTTATACTTGCTTATTCCAGTAAGTAAAATTAAAGATATATCTCTCTCTATCTCTGTGGGGTAAATAGAAGATCAACACCCCTGGAATTGTTGGTTTCAGCATGGACTTTAGTAGTTATCTGGGGAACAGCAGTGGATCAGCAGGAAAGGTAAGTATAAACTAACTTATTTTACAAGAGTGCCTTCAATTAGGTGTTAAAGGCTAGATGCTTAAGGTGTGGAGCAGGGGTGCCCATAAGGTCGATTGCGATCTACCAGTCGTTCACAAAGCTAATGTTGGTAGATCGCGGGTCGACTCCCTGTCCCGCTTTCCGTCCCACTGTGTTAGTGCGCCCGAATGTGTCGGACGCTGAAGCATCTTACACATTGAGCCTGCACCTCCCTGTCTGCAGCGTCCAATAAACTTTTCAGCCTCTACCCGCCCGCAGAGACATTTGGGCCGCCCTACCCGCATGCAGTGTTCAACACATTTGCCTGGCCCCTCCCCGTCTGCAGCGTTAGACACATCTGACCCGCTCCTCCCAGTCTGCAGTGTCAGGCACAATGGGACCACACCTTCCCACCTTCCGTGTCGGATACACCTGCGCGGCTGAAGAGCCAGAAAGTTCTGGAAGCAGGTAATTTCTATTGGCAACTTACAGGTTGAGTGGGAGCTGGCAGGATGGGGTTAACA